TGAGCAAAAAGACACAACCCTGCCAAAAAATATAAAAAAGTGAGCAACGACCAAGAGACGAGTCTAATGAGGCTGGGGAGTGGGCAATTAGATTTTACTTCCGCTCATTATGCGCCACGTTTCCTTGCAAATACGCGCTTTTCACGAGAGCAAATTCCTGATAAAAGTATATATTTTTCATTATTGTTATTGCAGCAGTTTCAAAAGCAGCGAGTCTAAATTTCATTACCTTGCTAATGCATTTGGGAAACAAAATGCATGAAGAGCAAATAAAAGAGGGGAAAAGGGAAAGGGTGTGTTTTACAACCATTTACATAGAACCTATTTGGCCAATAATAATACTTTTCAAAAAAATTTAGGATTTTCAGTAAAAAGCTTGATTAAAAAATATAATCAATCGATAATTATATCCAGATGATTTGTGATTTAATAAAAATCTAAAAATTAATAATAACAAAATATGTAAAAAAAAATCAATTAAAATTATGAATTAAAAAAATGTTACAGAAAATGTAGTGAACACAACTCTCTAGTCTCTTGATAAATCATGTTTAATTTCTACTGCGCATTATTTCCAAATAAACATTTCTTCTCGCGCTAATCACAGTGTGAGTGACAGGTGCTGAGTGAGCAGGAAATTCGAGGTGACTCAAATGACTTGTTTATATTCAGGCGGGCGTCATTATCATAATAAAAAGGTCTCCCGAAAAGCACCGCAGGCGCTGACGGGTCGGCAAAGGCTCGTAAATAAATTGGATTCGAAACTTTTCCCTTTTCCAGTTGCAAAAGTTGTCAAACACCGGGACGGCTTGCGCACAACATGCTGCCACTTTGCCCGCTTTCTTTTTGCCGCTGCCACCTCCAGCCTCATCTCTTTTCACACATCGCTTCCTTTTCCAACACGCACGCTCTCTGAAACTGATAAAAAATAAAATTCAATAATCTCTCCCGCTCTCGCGACTTTCGACTCGTCGCAAATGGAATTACATAAAGAGATGGCTCTGGAGCGATGCCCCGGAGAGGAAAGAGCCGAGAGAGGTGCTAAAAGCGTTTTCTCTGTTTCTGGCGGCTCCTGGAATTATTATCTCTCGCGCTGGCTGCGTCAGCCAAACCACGGGAAGTCGCTGGCAAAGAGCCCACTTTGTTCTTTTGGGCCATTGGCAACGCGATTTTCCCAGATTCTCAATGATAATCCATGAGTGTGGCTTCTTATCGATTTCTTTTACAAACACCAAATAATCCAACCTCTGATGAAAATAACACATTGTTGTTTATTTGTCCACATTGTCACAATAAATTGTTTGCATTAAATTAATTTATTTAATTTATTTTCATTAAAATTTCAATTTTCAATTATAGGTTCAATGAAAATTAATACAACATGAAAAGATCCGTGCAGACTTATATGAATTTTATCTTTGTTTATATATCATGATTAAAATGCTACATGAACATATATTTAAGATAATTAAAAATTTTAGCAAAGTTATTGTGATTGGTAATGTATTTACTGCTAGTTATAATTATTTAAATGGAATTTTATTGCATATTTAGCAATATATTTAAATTAATTAAACAAAGAATAAAAAAAATTAAATCAAAATATATTACTAAGAAACAAGTTTAAAATAAAAATTATTTACAACATACACAAACTAAGTTACATTTTATTTCAATTTTTTTAATAGTTTTATAAACTCTGCTTTTACTACACATTGTAACCAGTTTGCACTCCATAAACATGCTGCACATTTTCCAGTCGCGTGTGATTTGCGCCACACACGACTAACAGGTTGTGCAGATTGCAATTTGCAGATAAGCCGAGCCGCGTGCGCTCTCGGCACTAATTTAATAAGCTAAAAAGCCACGCAAGGTCGCGCACAGTCCGAAAGAATGGGCGAGGCTGGCGGCGGGTAATTAAAAGTTTTTGTGTTTCGCGACAGGGTGGAGGCTTGAAACGAGTCCGACTGGCGCCACCGCGTCTACCACTTAATGAAATAAACACGAGAGAAACGTGCTTTCATGCTGCGCAAAAGAGCTGTGTATAATTAACTTTTTGCTGTACTTTTTTCTTATACTGGAAAAATTTCTTGGCAACTTCAAGAGAACCTTGTTAAATGCGAGTCGATTGGCAGTCGTTTAATTCAAGCGCACCTTCCGCCGGCAAACTTTCGGCTTGAACGCCTGCCAAGCCCGCGGCTTGTGTCAGTTCGAGAAAATTGCCTCTGCCCTATTTGTCTGAAAGAGACAGTCCCGAGTAAAAAAATCGGGAGTTAATCCAAGTTTGACATAAAATCAACTTCTCTACCTTGGATAACTTTTCAAATCATGCTAAATTTCTTTTTCCTATTTTTCCAATTTATTTTCATTTCCATTCAATCTGATTTGTTCCTTACTATAATTTTGCGGAGAGTTTCGCATTTATAGTACAGTAAAAGTTTGAAAATTCAATCATCTATATTGACCTAGTTTGAAAACACTTTGACTATATTATTAAAGTCGGCTTTTGCCAATAAATTATAACTTTTAATTGTATAAAAAGTTTCATGGTTATTACTATAGAAGCATTATTTTGAGTATAAATATATACAACATATACAATAAAAACGTTCATCATATTTTAATTGAATTTTCCTGCAACTTTCTCTCTCATTATGAGGCCTCCTTTGTCCAACCAACAAGTTGCACATTTTCTTGGAATTATACAGCAAAAAGCAGCTTTTCCAGATTCAATCTCTTTTTGTACAACTGTGAGCACTATTTATTTACCGCACGCCAACAAAAAGGCGGTGAAAATACGAGGCATCAAGTGACCTTTCGCTGGTGCGCCATTTCGTCAGCGGTTGATGTTGGGACGGGCGGCGAGCTTCACCTCTTATTTTCGGCCAGGGCCGTTTCCAAGATTGATGCACTCTCTTCTTTTTCTTCTTCTCGGCCGGCAGAGATGCATTGGCGGAGAAACAATAAAAGTGCTAGCGGTGCTGCTTTTTTTGCGCACAGACGTCCAAAGCCGGAGGGAAAGCCATCACTCTCTTGCCAGGCCTTTATTTGCACGGCCTGCGAAATGTCAAAGCTAGCAAAGGCGGGTGGTAATGGATTAACGGCAGGTGAAGTGTCGCTCACAAAGGTCATTAAATTCTAATTACAGCTTGTAAAGGCTACTTTTTGGCTGCACGCACTATAAATTGCTCTTCGTGTCAGAAATGTCAGACATGAGGTATTATGCTGTCCATTTTATATAAAAATAGAAAGTTAATAGCACATTCTCGATTGCCAAATTTCAATAAAAAAAACTAGAGTATAAAGAGTTTGCAAGAATATTATGAATGAAATAATTGCTTGTTTTTGTTGCTTATATTTATTATTTCTAAGATTTCTTTATTTACTTTCAATTTGCCATTCGCTAACAGACTTTTAAATTAAGACTTTTCTCAAAAAATTAAAAAAATAAACCGGACTAAAATTTTGTCGAAAAAATAATCAAAATAAATAAATAAAATGAACAATTCGCGCTATTTTATAACAGCAAAATGACCATCTCGCATTTTTGTACGAAATCATCCGCAATTTATTATTACTTATTATTTGATTTAAATTTATTTCTAATAATGCATGTTTGTATATAACAGAAATTATAACAGAACTATTATAGAAATTGAATGCTTACAACTAATTTTATTACATGCGCAATAAGGAGTTGCAGCACAACACATAATTGATATTTCCACCAAATTAAGCAGAACTGAAGTAAAAAAAGCAAAAGTCGTGCCTAATTGCACAGCAAGTCGTTTCCTTCATGCATTTAACGTCTTTTCCGCAGTCACACTCTCCGTCCGATGCAGCAACTGTGACGAGAATTGACGCTTTTACAGCAGTAGCAATTTTATTGGCGTCATTAAATCAGTCGAGCATATGATTGGATTTAAAGTCATACAATAAAAAGGGTATAAATTATTATTATTTTCTGCCCACATATATACACGCGGTCTTAACTCCTCATGTGTCGCGGCTGCTTTTTTTTTATTCTCTTCGGAGTTTTTGTATCTCCGATTCGCTGCTTTTATTTCTCTCCAAGATAGCACGTACTTCTTTATGAGATTCTTTTCCTTCTGCGAAGTTTTTGCTGGGAAAAAGGGAGCTCGATTGGATCCATTGTGCGGAGAGAGGCTGTTTGGTGCAGCCACAACAAAACGGCCGCCGCACAATCAAGACGGGCATTCAGCCTTTGATTTTTATTGCCCATTCGTCCTGGCAAATTATTAATGTTCCAAAAATGCAGCCGGTGGTTTACAAATTTAATCCCTGCTGGGCGTAATTTATACAACAGGCGGATTACAAGCAGCCGGCCCCTTTTTACGAGGCCATTTTTTCGCTCTTAATATATGATAATGGTTCCGCAAAAGTGCACCCGGAATTACCAAAATGCCTCCTCGGGCGTTTTATGAGAAGGAGGAAGAGAGACGTGCAGTGTCTCCGTCCGCGCTGAGAAACTGCACTCCAGCATAAAACACACGTGTCGAGCTCTCAGGCCAGTTTTTTGCACGGGGAGAGCAGGCAACTTTTTTAAGAGCGACACTCTTAGAGCGAAAGTTTATGAAGGCTTTGAAATAATGATGCTGCCGTAGGAAAGGGGGTGGAAATTGATTGTTAATCAATCTGGCTTAAAAATCGAACAAAAACTCACTTCTCAAAAGTTGTTTTTATAGCGATTAATTGAGAGACATATTGCTGCCAAAACTTGACTTTGGTTAAAAATTTTCCCTAAAAATAATGGCGTTGGTACTAAAATATAATATGATGTTAAGGAAACGTTATTTTTTTAAGTCGTTTTCAGTTAAAATTTTTTAGCACACGTGGCCTGATGTGGCCCGCCCATTTTCCGCTCTAGAGATTATCCAACCCTCTAATTAAGCAATTGCGCACAAGATTATTTGAAGCCAGTTCACGGTCGGATGCTTCTCAAAGGAGATCTAATCGGAGGTGTCGTTTGTGTGTTGCAGGTGGCAGTATGTGATGTGTACAGCCTGCCAGTAGACTTCATCAATAGACGAACGCGCAGCTTCGCTTCTGGTCTTGCTAACTGGACTCCAAGCCCAAACGGAGAAAACGTGAGTATCAAAAATTATTTTTACTTACAACACATGATAATAATTCTATTAATTGTTTCTTTGCTCATGAAATAGGATTGTGCCCAAAACTGGTAGATCCCTTTGTTTTTTTTTTCAATAAAAAAAAATTGTCCATAAAGCTCAATGAAATTCTTTTTGAGTGCCTCAAAAATCTTAGAACGTATATTAAAAATATTAAATTTTTAATAAACTTTTATTTGCAACTAATACGATCTGTCCATTACAACATGTGAAATTTATAGATCATTTGGAATAATAACATTTTTGCATCTCCTAAATTCTCATAATTCTTCTGCTCTGATCTTCTCTAATAAAATAGCATAATTTTCTCGTTTTTCTTATTTAACTCTGTTTCTTCTTTTGATAGTTCCTACCATTCATGTGATCTTTGTGCAAAAAATTGCGAACCATGACACGTTAATGCCCCTTGCGTATAGCCTTCCCCCTTTGAAAACAAACTCAACAAGCCGGAAACGGCCTCAAAATATTCCTCACACACGCATGGATTCCCTGTTGGCAGAAATCTGCAATTCCTTCAAGCGCACCACTTTTCGCGTCGTGAAAACAAACGTCGGGAATAATTCAGCTGCTGCCCTTTTTGCCAAGGGAAGGAAGGGTTCTCTCTGCCCGATATGGATACCCGTCGTGCCTACTAAACAGCCCCGCTGATTTATCGCCGTCCCTCGTTTTTTTTTTATTCCGCTCGTATGTGCGAGGAAAAGATGAGATGGCTCTCTCTCTCTCGGCGGTTGCTTTTTAATCATGCCCATAAGTTCTCTGTCAATTATTAAGGGCGAATGATTTATTTTAATTTCGGGTGGAATTAATGGGGTTGTAATTCACCAGGCAGCGGGGAGCGATATATCATACTGCTCTCGTGCGCCACCAGACAGCAGGCTCAAGATGTAATTTCTTTCATTCACGTTGGCGTTTGATTAATGACGACATTGCAATTTCTATGCTAAACTTTCCTGTTCCACATTGCAAGTAGTTACAAAGAAAATGCAATCTCTTTGCTTAATTAGAAACGTTAAATTGTTGCGAATATTTTAACTTTTTTAATCTGTTCAAGCGATGATAAATTATTCAAAGAACAAATTGAAAATAAGTGTTAGAAATACAAGAAGGTAGTAAAATATAAAAAATTCTACACTTTTGTTTCTAATTGAAATTTTGGGAAAATTCTTTAATTTAACAATTTAACATGTTTGGTTTTAAAACTTTTGAAACAGCTGAAGATGCAAAAAAATTCTTACTATAGAATATATATTATGAACATTATTTCAAATATTAAATAAAATAAGAACGACAAGAAGTTACATTTTAATTAGATAAAGTCTAGGAAATTGTTCTAATGAATGGAAACTTTACAAGAGAAAATGGAAGATAAGAGATATCAAGGAAACACTTCCTTACAATTAAACAGTGGGGAGATTTTGCAGACAATTGCGTTGTAGGATTTTAAGTGGCAGAGGGTTCAAGTGCACGCAATCGTCAGTTAGGGGGTTGTCTGAAATGTTAATTGAACGTAACAGAACAGACATTACACCGTGCGTTGGAGAGAAGGAATTCGATATCAGAGCAGTCATTAAAGGAGGCCGAAGCGTTTCCCTAGCTGTCGACAGGCCGAGAGTTGTGAAGTTTCCGCTCGGCTGATTCGCACATTTTCGGGCGGGTACATTTCAGTTCGCGTGAGCTCCAGGCAGCAACTTTACTAACAGCTGCTGTTCCGAGCGTGATATTGGATTTAGATATTTCCCAACAAATCAGCCGCCGTCGTGCAATTTAAATGGGGAGATCGGAAAGGAAATTCTTTCATGCGAAATTCCAGACATTCCACAAACGCATGGATTTTCCAATTTAAATGTGCAAAATTGGGCAACGAAAATTTATAACATTTAAATAGTTACAAATTTTTAAGAAAAATACTGCCTTGGAATTTATGCATATTAGTTTTAAAAATTCAATTTTATTATTATAAGCAAAATTATGAAAAATAATAATTTATATGTGTTGTAACGGCACTGAAGTTTATTTTGTTTTATTGACCACATTCATTGAATGAAACTGAAATTTACTTTTAATCAAATTTTTTATTTATTAAATTTATTTTCATATAAATATGACTATATATTCCAATAAATGTTTGATATAAAAAAATATTTTGTAAAAAATATCTCAACCCAAGAGAGTTTCATTTATTTATTTCTCTCACAAATATTTCCAATTTCCTCGTTGCCCATAACTTTAATCAAACTCGGCACCATATCGGTCTATGGGGCGCTGTGCTCTGTTAGATGACATTTTCCAGAGCAAACAAGAGATGGGAAAAATGACAGCAGCGGCACTTCAAAGCAGCTGTAAAGATAAATATCAGCACCCGCGAGCAAACAGAAAAGCAGAATCTGATAAATTTTTTACTTCTTGCTCACACAAAAATATATTATATATTTCTGTGCTTGAGGACGGATTTGGCCGCGATGATAATAACGTGGAGCCTTGTGTGTGTTCCAGTTGCAAGTGTTCGACGGCTACAGCGACCCGAGGGACTGCAAAGCTTATCTCGAACCAGGACAGGCTGCCTGCACAAAAGTTTACACGAGCCCAGACGCCGAGAAATACAGCAGACCGCTTCGTCCGCCCAAAGGTGAGTTGCACAACTCTTTTTCTTTTCACGTTCTTTTGCGCCGGTACAGCAGGAAGCTAGGTGCCGTATTTTTCCTTTTATGCCCCGCAACTATAATGCAGAGGCAGTTGGGCTGCTTCAAAGCTGAAAGCAATGCCCAAGTCTCTCTTTCTTCCTTTGCTTCTTGTTTGGCCGCTATTATCGTACTTCTCTCTATGACGATGCTCATACATTATTTAGGTTGATGAAAAATTCATACAGAGGCCGCAATTTATGTGGTAAATGGACGGAGATCTGAAAATAACTTTTGTTCAAACATTGAATCAGTTTCGCTGTTAAAAAAAAGACAAAATTGATTTCATCAGTAAAAAACTGTTTCTGGTCATCCAACAATTATTATGTTACCCTTAACCATTTGCGAATACAAAGAAGTAAATATTGATCCATAATTAAAATACAGTCTAGATCATCATGATTAATAATCAAATAAATTGTAAATAAAACTATTGTTTACAATTGTTTATCCAATTATTGCTTTTTATGTCTGTGATAATTACAGATAATTTATTTTAATTTATGCAAGAAATACGAAAAATTTAATTAGAAATTATAAGAAAAGTTTTTATAACTAGACGGGAAGAAATAAATTAATTACAAATAATGCCAATAAAGTTTTGCATACATTTATAATTTTTATTACTTATTATTATTATTATTTTTTGAATTAATTTCTGACAAAAAATGAAGGAAGAAAGCAATAGATTTGCATTATTATTATTTGGTATGTTTTATAACAACTGAAATGCCAACAACTCTTTTATTTTTGTAAACATTTTTAACAAACTACCTCCACCCCCCACTTGTGAATACTTTAAGAACGTTTTAATTAAAAATACCAACAATGCCATTCCTCTCTATGCTATAAACATTTCGGCGAGCATCCCTTGGGTGCAAGTGGAATCTCGACAGCATGAATTACAACCCGAGTTATTATTTATTCACTTCATTCAGCACTGTCTCTCTTTTCGAGCATCGCACGTGAGTCCATGCATTGTGTGTGTGTCGTTTGTGGCGCGCACACGCACCCTCCCCGCGGCTGTTTTTCTCACTGTAAATCACGCGCATGATAACCACATTACTCCGCTGCCAGATGGAAAAATAACACGGTCTTGCATCACCATACCTTTTATGAAAAACAGGAACCACCCCCGCGGGGAAACGCTTTTATTGTGCCCAGCCAGCTCTTGAGAGTGTGCGATATTAGCCATTAAGTTGAGTGGGTGCACAAAACACACCCTTTTAAAAGTGAAGTCGACAGCATCAAAAGTTGGCTGCACCTGCGCTCGTTGCACTGACGCGGCAGCGGATTTGTTCACGTCCCAATTGGACGTTTATTTGACGCGAAAGGAACAAGAAGGGCGATTTTTCGCGGTGAAAATATGAAAGCTGACTTTTTTCCATTAGGACAGGCTTTTGATTGTCAGTCAAAAAGGATTTAAGAGTCAAAGCTGTGTTTTTTTTAAAAGATAATGTGACCTAAAATTTTACGCTGAATATGGAATTTAATTTTTACTCTTCAATCATTTAAAAAAAAGATATTTGTTGTATAAAATGAATGAGATCAAAGTAAATTATGTTGTGATTAAATTGAAATTTAAATTTCAACAAGCTTTAGTTGCTTTAGTTGTTAGGTCTCAATTTCTAAAAAGAAAAAATAAGAAGTACTATTAGTAAGTTCTCCTTGTGTTGTATATATACATATAATTAATCGCAGCAATTCCAAAGACTGAATGAATATGGAAAAAAATATAAATAAAATGGAATTTAATATCCTCACTCAAATATGGAATTTCTTGATCAAGTGAATTCTTTCTCTAAGAAAATGATCTGCCAGATTCCTCGGAGCAAAATGAATATTGCATCCTTTCATTTCTTTTCCCTACCCTGCCTTTGGTTCCCTTGAGATGTTGGCCAGCCAGGCAATCTCCTCTGCAGCAAATAAAGGGAACCTCGTCGCTGGCTGCTGGCAAACAGAAATCTGATGTGCACACAGGCAATCACTTTAAAGGCTTTTGCATGCATAAGCAAATATTAATGGTCCGCCCTGTGCGCGCCATTATTTCGGCGCCCGAGGCCTTTTTTCGTCGATGGCAAAACATCCTAACGAGGTCGATACGCATCTCTTGCCTCCGTCTCGTAATTGGCAGAGCCAAAGTAAGAAAAATAATAAAAAGCTGCTCTTTTGGAGTTAAATAAGCGGACGAATTGAATGGAAAAGTCAAGAAGCGTGATGAAAAGATGAATCTGTGGGGGGTGAGGTGAGAGAGACGCCTGCATTGTGCTAAAAAAAAACTCCCCTCAGCCGCGAGAAGAAAGTTGTGATCAAATCTAAAGTAAGAAAATGCGAGGGAGAAATAAATCATGACAAAATTGCATCGCAGTCTGTGTCGTTTTGACGCACGGCGGGAGGGATATATTTGCATTTTTTGCTCAAGTCAAACTCTTTGTATCAATTTTGCTGTGCTCTGCCATTTTTCCCGCTCCCAGATATGCTGTCGATCAATTTCTCTATTGTCACATCGCATAAAAAATGGGCCATTCGGCGAATGTATATCATTTTTCCTTATCGTTTGGCTGCGTCGAGGGTCGGAGTAGTGCAATAATTTATTTCTGAACGATCGCTGGAAAACTTGGGGAATGTTTTAGACGGGGTGACAAAAGGTCACATTATGCCGTATAAGTTTCCATAAACTGCTTGTTTTGATATGACCCCCCCCCCCTCCAAGTGTCAAATTATTTTTACTTTTTTCAAATCTGATAATCATAAAGTAAATTTAGCATATTTAATTTTAATTTAAATAATTTTATAAATATTTAGAAAGATCTCAAAAAAATATAGAGAGAGAAAATAATAATTAATTATATTTCAGTAGTGTAAAATATTAAAGATTTTTATATTATTAAATCTTTATGGCACAAAAATTTTAACTGTTAGAATACATTTTTTTTTAAATTAATTTTCAAATAATAGCAATTTTATTTATATTAAATATTATAACTACTTTTTTTCTCCATTTAAAGTATTAGAACGCATATTTTAATATTTTTATATTTTTATCTTTTTTTATTAAAAACAATTTCTTATTACTAATAAACACTAACTACACTTGTTACTCAAAAAACAACCAAACAAAAGTTGATTAGTATGTTCTTACTTAGATACAGTTGTCTTTATTATATACTCAATTAAAAAGTGGCATAATAATTGCACATTTATGTTTTTATGGTGCGAACATAATTATTCAAAAAAAAAGAATATAAATTTCAAGCTAAACTGTAATAAAATAGCATAAAATTATTAACAAAAATTAGTTGTTTTGAGAATAAATGAGAAATGAGATATAAATTTAAAAACTCTTTTAAACATAGATCTGCTATATATTTTTTCGTTTGAAAAATTTCAATTCAAATTCACTAGCTGTCAACATTCCCTGAAGAGATCAATTACCAATTATCTCTGCAGCACACTTTTATTTACGAAAACATTCAGCTTGGTAATTGCTGACATTCGATATGTATATGCGTTGCTTGTATGTTTGTTCTCTTTTTATGCGGAGAAGAGCAGCAAATTAATGCAGCACAGCTTGAATTTCACATCAGCCGTTTCGCAATGTATACCTGCGGCGTGCTCGGCAGCGCAATAACGGGAAAAAATAGAGAGGAGCTAAAAACGACGGCACGTGCACATTTCATTGTTTTCCTTCTCCACCGTGCGCGCGGGCAGTAAGTTTTTATGCCTTTACCACATTCTGCGCCGCCCTTCACGCATTCATTCTCCGAAAACAACCAGTGCATTTTTTATGCGCGGCAAATCTGTGTTTCTTTCTCCCTCTTTTTTTGTTTTGTTTTCGGCCGATGCTTTAAGTGATTGAAAATGTTCCAACATGACACTCGCAGATGTCTTTTCTCTCGAAGGGAACAAAAAAGTAAGCAAGGGGGAAGAAAGAGTGAAAATTAGCACCCGCGTCTTATATTTTTCCAACTCGTTCTCCACGGCAGTTTAATTTTATTAGGCAGCTTCTCGCAGATAATAACATATTGTGCGCCGCTCTCTCCCTCTCGCAATGGGCTCAGGCACGCGCGCAAACTTGCATTGTCGAGCTGCTTTTAAGCCTGGCGATCATTATGGAAATTAGCAGTGCGGCTGGAATGTGCAGAGCGTGGCAATTAAATGTTTAGCTTCTAAACAAAAATGCCGTCCGGACGTGGGGATTTGGGAACTGCGTCACTCTTGCTCCCCCTGTGGATGCACGGGACGAACAAATTATGCCGAGCTCTGGTCAGCGAGCGGCCCCCGTTTCGACGGGGGAGTTTTTCCTCGTTAGACCACGAGTTAGTTAGTGAGCGAGGGAGAAATGTATATCTGTATATTTTACGCCAACAACAAAAACCAACGATAACAGACGGCTTGTTTTTTATCCGGAATATGCGGAAAATTTAGATGAAGTGCAGATTATGTGTCTCGTTTTCGCAATGCGCGATTGATATTTATTGCTTCAGCCGTTCATTTTGCTGAGATAAAAAAAAGTGATGGGATTTATTTCAAATAACCATGTAATTTTTAGAGGTGGAAATATATAACAAATAAAGCTTTTCTCATGTTAGTCAAATTGAATGTCAGAAATAACTGTGCATTTATTTTTATATCAGTGTTAAAAGGTTATTAATGGCCCAACTATCAACATTTTGTGGTAATGAAGACCAGGAGGAAGTTTCAATACATATAAGAATATCTCAATAAAAATAAATTTCTACAATTACAGCCGATTTCCACGATCAAAGCTTAAAATTCTAATGATATAAACAGAGTTTCTTATAAATATTTATGTAAACAAAATTTAAACTTTTTTAATAAACTTTTTTAATAATCTAAAATACATTTCCCCCAACATTTCATGATGGATACATCTCAAATTACTTTTAATTTTTCAATATACAGACTGTTATTTTCATTTTTATTAAACTCTCATCTTAATTAACACTTGAAAACTGTTTGCCATTTCAATCATTCATTTATTCTTGCTTAAACAAATCAACCTTTATTCATTTTAATTTTTGTTTTTTTAAAGCTTCATTGTGAAAAACAGAACATCAAAATAACTGACAAAGAAATCTTATGCCTTTTATTTTAAGGTTGTTTTTTGTTTGTTGAATTCATTTTTATGTTACTGCCATTCTAACGTAAAACAAACACTCTACTCCTCCACGGTTGAAACCCTTGCATTGCTTGCAAAACAACGTCTATCACTTGTCAACCCGTTGGCAGCATAACATTCAATTTAATAATATTCCTCATAGTTAAAACTGAAGAGACAATTTGGCGAATTTCTAATTAGCCTTCGCGAGACGCCCGCAGCATGCAAACGTCGTTGATTATTAGCGCGAAAGAGGCTTCGTAGGTTCTCTCGCTGATCGCATTAGCGTTCAATTACCAAAGGACAACACTGCCTCACCCACTCCCTCTGTAGCGAGCAGGCCCGACCGCTCGCTCCACTCTTGCGAACTATCTATCAAACGCGATGCTGGAATTTAATTAAGAACCCTCAACCCTTCTGCTTTGGTGGCGGCGTCTAGTTGGCTATGAAGCGCCTCTTGCCTTCAGCTGAAAAATTATTGTTGCCACCTAATTGCAAAAATCAGAGTGCCTCTTTTTATCGCGAAAATTCGCTCTGAATAATTGAGCGGGCGCGTGAGGGCGAAGCGCCAACCTTGTTTGCTCTCACCCTTTCGGCCTCCGCGAATTTCGCAAAGTTATTAGCCCCCGTGTTTATTTTGACGAGAGCGAGCGAGAGAGTTCCGCGTTAATTAACTAAATTCATCACGACCCCTGGCTGCGTATCTCTTCTCCCAGGCCAAATGAATTAGAACTAATGGTCTGCTCTTCTTGTCAGAAAGCAAAATTAATTTCGATTGTGTCTCTCTCCCTCACCTTTTTGCATCTTCTGTTTGCAAATCGTTGCTGTTTTTGACGCTGTCTCTCACCGTCAATTTTTTTACTCACGGAATCTGGTATAGGCTTTTTGCTCCGCTTGGAAGTCGTGCCGGTTGCATAAATCGTCCTTTCGCAGGCGCTCTCCCTAATCGTTTTTGGCAAACTGGTAAAATTCACCAACAAAATTAACACAAAACCGTATATTTTTTAGGGAAAGAATTTCTCGTTATTTCGATTGTTTGGGCAAAGAGGAAGTTTTCGCTGCGCAGAAATGACAGACTTTCCGCAGTCTCTGGGCGAATTACGCTTTATGTGAATCCGACGACAAAGCTTCTGCAGGGATGTGGAAAGACAAAGAGAGACACGAAAAGTCATATTAAGTTTCTGACCTAAATTTCACAGAACTGCTCGTGTTAATTAAATTTGACAAACCAGCAAGTTCTTGACGTTCTGCCAAAAGGAAAATTGTTTTGACAATTTTTGCTAAAGTTGAAGCCAACAAAAATTTTGACGTCATTCGTGATTAAAGATTTTTTTATTTATTCTTCTTCAAGATGTGATATATTATTTTTTTAAATGTACTAAATGAAGTTAAAATTGTTGAATGAATGTGTTTCAGAGTCTGAAGAGTTGCACCCGTCCCCGTACGTCTACAGCGAAATCAAAGATCCCTCCAAGGCCAGCAAAGGCCACCGCAAACACCACCGCTCCAAAGTCCGCCAGAGCGTAAGTCTCGACTCGCCACGGCCACCTCGACCCAAGAGGCCCATTCCAAAGGTCACGACCGCGCCTGCCGGTGGCGAACCGTGGTGCTACGATGCAGACGTCGAGTCTCCCCTAAGTGAGCAGGCGAAACCTAATGGGCGAAGGCACCGGAAACCCGTCGAGATGCCGTGCGACGTGTTGGTGAGATCGAGAAGCAGCGTCTGCGTGCCCTGCAAAGGCTCCATCGAGCAGGACGAGCCTGACTGCGATGACACCATGAGCACTCGCAGTGGACGTAAACAAATTTACGAGACGGCCTTTGACAGCCGCGTCTCCAAATCGGAAGATGAGCTTGATGAGGTGAGATCTAAAAATTAAACGTGCTCTTGATATTAACATTATTTGACTGCAACATTATATAGTTTCAAAATTTAAATTTAATCTTTATTCAAATGCGATTTTATTATCTTTAGATATTTTAAAAAGTAAAAAGTAAATACTTTTTCAATATTTTTCATGCAAATTTAATTAAAATGCGATGCCTTGCATTATTAAGATAAAAAATAAAACTCAAAAAGGCTTTTTAGCAGATGGAACATATAAAAAAATATGAATACATAGTTAAAATATTAATTTGATAAATAAAAATTTGATACATTAATTATATTAGTAAAAAAAATTTTTGTAAAAATGTATACACAAATTTATATTGCACTAATAACCTGTGTGGTATGAGCTGATTAATTAAATTTTTATTTACTAGGTGGATCGAGTAAGCAACCATCCCGTATTGCGAATGTTTAGCCGAGCGGCGCGTGGATTGACCCCTCGGGGCAACCGCAAGAAGAACAAAGAAAAAGAAAGTCCCGACCCTCAGGAAGGTCCGAGCCAGACGCCGAGGCCCATAAGCGCCATCCCAGGCCACCTGGCCGCCGAATTGAGTGCGATGCGAATTTCCACGCCACCTCCACCATCCGCGCCAAGCCCCATCCACACTTACACCCCTTCGCCTCCCTCGACGGCACCCTTGCCTGCGAAATTCCACACCCCCACCCCTATGAACAGCATACAGAGCGCCCCGAATCTGCCTGCAGGATCACCTGCGAGGTTGAAGGACCTCCGGTTGCCGGTCAAATCTCTCAAGGCCCGCAACCGGCCCACCTCCCTCCTGATTGCGGGCGTGCAGGCGTCCCACCGTCCCAAGTACTCGAGCACCGAAAGTATGGCCACAAGCAGCAGCAGCATGTCCAGCTTAGACTCGTTACGAAGCTCAACTAGTGAAGGGAACAGGTCAAGCACCAGCTCTGGAAGCAGGTATAACTTTGAATAATAAAATGCTAAAAACAAGTGATTTGGGGTTTATTTAATATGGTTAAAAAATATAAAAATTAAAATCAATATGAAACAGTAAAAAGTTCATGATATATAACATTTAATTTAATTTCCTGAACCCAATCTTTATTCGAAATAGAAGTTTTCTTTACAAATCAATTTGTTCCAGCAGAAGTGACTCATTGAGTTCACATTCGTCTGACTCTGGTGGTGACTTGAGAAGAGTGATGCCCACCAGGTGTGCTCCTCTTGGCCTGCTGTCCAACAAACTGCACATACTCTCCCCAATTTCTGACAAATCTCAAGAGCCCGGATCTGAGACTTCCGACAATAATAGGTAAATGATAACCAGATTTCAAACATCCTTACATTAACAATTTTAAATCAGAAACAACAACTCGCAAAAAGCCTCTCCGGAAGAAGCGGCCACCGCAGCCACACCAACGGCGGCCACTGACGACCTACCATGGGACGCGCCTAAACTGAGGCGTCGCATGCAGAACAAAAACGTGATCAACCTGCAGTTTGGCGCCCCGAAGGACATTCTGCAAGGCTCAGACAGCGGCATCTCCATTGAGAGCAGGCAGTTTGAAAATCTGCCGTTCGACATGCCAAAGCTAAGGAGACGCCTGACTGCAGCGGCCAGCAGTGCCACTTCGAGCAGTGCAACATCAGTGGCCAGCAGCTCCAAACCAGAAGATCTGCCCTTTGACATGCCGAAGTTGAGGAGGAAGTTGCGTCCTGCATCCACCTTTGAGCCAATGTCGTCAAACTCGAGCGTGCTTTGCACAACAACTGACAGCAACGCCACAGGTACAAAATAATTTTTTTCCAACTTAAATAAAAATAAATTTATTTATTATTTCTTTTTTTACTAGATTCTGCTGGTGGAGGTCCCGTGAGGCCACCAAGTCTGGACTTAGGAGGTCCTTCTGCCTTCAGACCAGTTTTGAGTTCTTCAAACCGGCCAGGAGGGCTGAGCCTCAACTTTGGCTTTGGCGCTCTTTCAGCCAGAGGCGACGAAGTGGACGTTCAAATACCTCTTGAGCGCCAAGGGTAAATTTTAATCCCTTTGACATTCAGTTCAAAAGTTGATAAAAAAATCATATCAGTTGGTTCCATGGCGCAATAACAAGGATCGAAGCTGAAGCTGAGCTGCGACTTCATCCCGAAGGGAGTTACTTGGTCAGGAACAGTGAGTCCTCCAGGCAGGACTTTTCTCTTTCCTTAAAGTGAGAATTTTTATGGGAAAAATATGGCATAAAATAAAATTTTTTCAATTTCAGGAGTGCTCGGGGTTTTATGCACATGCGAATACAACAGGACACAGACACCGGCCAGTACATACTGGGGCAATTCAGCAAGCCGTTCTCGTCAATACCCGAAATGGTTTACCACTACTCCATCAACAGGCTGCCCATCCGAGGAGCTGAGCACATGTGTCTACTGCATCCTGTTATTGAGCAACTTCTTTAGTGATTAAGGTCTTACCCTTCCCCTATTTGAGCTGTGAGTGTACATTATTCTTGCTGATTATGCCAAAGAAAAATACGATCAATTTATTTCCCAACCTTGTGTAACCAATTTTTCAACCTTAAGGAAAAATATCGCTGTTTTCATTTGTATACCACATAAGCTTCCTTTTTCGATTGGAATGATGATGAAGAGAGTCGGGTGCATTTTCATCTGTTGTTGTGTAAATTCGGTAAATTGGAATGAAAACGAGCAGAGAATTGGTACAAAAATGAAAACAATCAACTGAGAAAACTATGGTTGGTGTAAATTGTCTTGAAACCTCTCAGATGAAATTTCACTTAAATATAAGGTTTATGTTAACAAAAATATAAAGGAAAATCGACACCACTGTGAGCATCTTCCTGAGCATCGATCAGTTATCATAATTATGTGTTGTTAGAGACTGATTGTGGTTTAGTTACAAAAACTCTGTATGTTAATTAAAAAAGTTCATTAGCACACAGGGTTGCGTTAGGTGGATGTGATTTGTTGAGTACTTTAATTCCTTAATTGGTTGTTGTTCTTGCAAAATGATAAAAAGACACGATGGCTTTTTCATTGTTAAATTGTTCATTAGTTAATGTTTCTTCACTAGCTACATAAGCCAGCAATGTAATTTGTCTGCAAGTGTTAGAAATTTAAACCAAAATCTTGGACTGGACTAAAAAAAATCACCTGTTTTAAAAATGACTCTCTGGCATGTAATTAAGTACTGACAATGAGTATGATGTATTAAAATATTTGCACTTAATTCATATCTGCTTCGAGCAAAAGCAGAAGCGGAAGTGCTGAATTAAACCACCCAAACCCACAATAATAATTTTTGTTCCATTCAAAAGCTTTCTGAAAATTGTTAAGTTTTAGGGGAAATTTTGTTATCTTATCACTGCGGACATTAGAAAATCTGTAGCCATATCTTTTAGAAAGATCAAATTGTTTTCTGTTGATTGAAAAAAATCAGTGGTGCCAAATATTTTGAATATTATATATTATTGTACCAATAAGACGAACAAGCATTTTTAATATAGGCGATCAAATGGTCACTAAACTATAAATATGCTCTCTTATTATTAAAATCCCCTCTCCTCGTAGTTATAGCTATAAGTATCAACAATTTAGAAAGGAATCCCCATGAATGTGAGAAACTCATTTTTCAATTTGAAAATAAAATATATATTTGACAAATAACGTAATAATTATACATTTAGAAATTTCCCCGGGGTTCAGTTTACTTACGATGACTTTGAACTTAGGATAGATGAGGTGAAGATCTGCTGCATAATTTGAGGGATTTTCTTCAAATCGAGGCAAACAAAGGCCCGTCCAGAAGGAAGTTTGGCAGTCAATCTATGTAGAAGAAAATAATTAACAACATTTTTATAGATTTATCAAAATGAAATACCTATCAGCCTGGTTTCCTAGCGAGCCGATGAAAATGGCATAAGCATTTACTCTGGGGTCAGACGTCAAAATTCTTCCGAATCTCTCAGGTGCAATACCATATCGCTCGAGGTTGGCGTCAGAGAGGACAATTACGAATGCTTCGTCACAATCTTCCTTAGCCAAAGACTGAATAGCCAAGCTGGTGGCTTCCAATGTGTGGTCACCTGACATGCAGAATTGGGAGTGTGCGTGCATTGTCTATGTAATTTTAAAAAACATAAAATATAATAAATTAAAAAATATACGTTTTTTTTTTAATTTACCTTGATTAAATCAAGACGCTCCTTGTTGTTGGAAGGTGGAGTGGTCTTATCCACAAACCGCAGGTCGTAACTTTCTCCTGAATGGCCCATTATGTCGTACTGGAATTTGTTCTCATGTCCTTCAAAGGCCTCCATCATCATCACTGCCGCCTCCATAACTCGGTCCAGTCGACCATCATAACTATTGAACCTGCCAAAAATTTGTTGTTATTTTGTCCACGTAATCAAAATTTAAAATTGCATACCTGTACATACTTCCAGACACATCAACAACAAGTTTCATTCTCTTAGGTTTCTGCTGTGGAGCTCCAAGCTCTGGCTCTTTTTCAGCCCGTCGGCGGTAAATTGTTTTCTCACCAGTAAGACCTACATGCTGAGTTATAGATTAAAATTTTCCAATTTTCCAAATATTTGCCTTCAATTAATTTGGAATCGTCAAGTTCGCCTGTCGTCTGGTGTCGCATCCACTGACGTTCTTTGGCTTTGGCTTGCAAGCTACTCAGAATCACCCTGAGCGATTTGACTTGTCTGTGAACAGCGTCGGAAAACTGGCCGTAGAGATTGGCATCGTACTGGCTCATCCTGATTTCCCTGAGTCTCTCCTGAAACGCCTTTTGGCCCATTTCCCGAGCAGCCTTCTTGATGTGCTCGGGCACTGCGTCTTTCTCCTCTTGGCTCACCTACATTGCTAATTAAGCTGAGAAAATAAATTTATCTTGGCTATACCTGGTAGACTGGATGACCAGCATCCAATCTAAATGGCCCTCCCTTTCCTCCAAGACCAGCAGTATCTCTGCCACCAGTGCCTCCTGCCCAGGTGTTGCCTCCAACGTGAGGATCGCCCGTCGGATCGATTTTTCCATACTTAGGACTGGAGACATCTTTTCCACTTGGCTGCTCGATGGTGACCTGAATGTTGCTTGGATCAGAGCCAATGACCCGCTTCCATTCGCTCATAGACCGCTCCAAATTCGCAACACCCGTCTCCCACAATCTGACTGTACCACCTGCATCAACAGTGACCAAACCTTCATTGCTTGTCTCAGCCACTTTTACAGGAACGTCCAGCGTGTCCAGAAGCCAAGCTGTGTATGGGGAGATGGTACGAGGCCTTTGAAAATAATTATACAAATTATCTTCTATTTAATATAAATATATAATTTATACAAGTTTGTCAATTTCTTACTCAGGAACTGGAATGTAGCGCAGTTTGTCAAAAAGGAGGTCAGTGACTTCCATGAAAGCAGATGGGCTGCCTGGATTTTTCACACCCATCGCCGGTCGGATGTCTTTTGGCACCTTCCATTTGGGAACAGCTTGAACAATCTAAAACCAACATCATATTTTGATATTCTTCTTGTAATTTCTAGTGTGTAGTTTTTACCTGTCCACTTTTTGGCAAGAAAATTGGCTTATCTGGCTGATTTCCTGATGATCTCCGAGCAGCGTTTGGAGGAGTATAGTTTGATTGCACCCGAGGCCATGAGTAAATGTCATTAGCGCTGCCGGTTAATTCTGGGAAGCCAATGGCAATGGCAGCGTGGGTGTCTCTTGAGGATAATAATCTGTTTGGTGCTGTAATTGACTGGCCCAAAGCTTTGTTCAACACAAAGGGGGATAATTCAACGTTCGCTGAGCCACTAATGGGGCCAAGCAAGGTCTGCGAATTGTCGCTAATCTTGCGAATTGAGCGTGGGTACTCGTCCTGGGGGTTCAGCTTTTCCAACAAGTATTTACTGAAATTATAAAAAATTTAATTCCATAGTAAGTAGAGGGTAAAACTCATAAAATTAAGTAATACTTTCTTCTGGTGTCTTCTGCCAGCCACTTATCTTTTGAAACAAGGTGGAGGTCCTGAATCTCAAAAGGCACTTCAAATGCAAACACATTCATGTTTTCAACATTTAAAACTTCAACGTTGTTTCCTCCACTCTCATACAAAACCTAAAAGTTATCTATACTAATTTACACAAAAAGGAAATTATTTGAAAACTTACGGCCCAGTTTTCATGTGCAAAATCACCCTTCATGCGCCACTGAACAGCAGTCTTTCCGAGGAAGGATAGAGAAATTTGTCCAGCTTTATCAGTGATGCTCGTCCTGAGCAAAACTTGGCTTCCTTCTGTTGTGTCTGGGCAAACAATGGCTAGTTTGCTGGTCTATACAAAAGAAAATTAATAAAGTATAGCAATACAACAATACATAATTTTCAATTTTACCGTTTCGTCAAATATAAGCAAACATCCGTCCAACTTTCCGCCTAAGGAGGCTAAGCTCATTGTTGGATAAATACCCCTTGTGGATTCAATCAAGTTTCTCAATTCTAGCTTCTCTATGTATTCATCGTTGTACTTCATCGAGAAAAGAATTGATGGGTTTGCGATTAAAACATGCAGAATGTCATTCCCAGTGTTGATTTTGTCTGTTTCTATGAGAAAAATAATTAATTTAATAAAAAAAGTGAGCTTAGAAATTACCCATTTTAACGATTGCATCGGCTACTACATTAGGTTCGACTAACGGCAGTGACCAATAAAATTGTTGCTCACTAAAACTACTTGAGCGAGCCTCAATTCTGTCCAGCAGATGAGAGCTCTTGGGAAGTTTTACAGCTCCCTAAGTGATTTAAATAAAAAATTAATAATTTAGGAATTAATTTAACACATTTTTATCACTTACTTTCAACTTAATATTCCTTTCAGAGATTTCCAATGTCTGTGGCTCATTTTCATAAGACTTCCACTGGCCGCTTAGTTTTACTCGGGGCAAGGGGTATCTGCAACGGCAGCGCTTTCATAAATAAAACTCGTGTTTAACTTTTGTGGAAAAATATATATTTAAAATCAACAAAAACTATTAATTTACTCTTTTCCTAAGCTGACACTGGTTGGCTTTGTCCCGATGGGAATTCCGTGCTTGTGTAATGTGGTCACCAACATTTCTTTTGCCTCTTGGCTGTACGAGTCAAAATCAAAAACGTTCCTAACAACGCTGGCTATGCCCTCATCACGGAATTGCTAGAATTTTAAATGGAATAATAAAATAGTTGAAAATTACCCCTTTTTTATTTAATTTACCTGCAAATGCTTGACAATGTTGACTACTTCTCTGGTTGAATATGGATATTGGACAAGGCCTTGGTCGGCCATTGTACGAAGTTCAGAGAAAGCTCTGACTAGCTTAAGGATAATTTCCTCAGGCACATCTGGTCCATAGTTCTTAAGCAGGGCAATTTCAGAGGCTTGGCTTGGATTATCAACGGCGTGACAACTGAACAGGTCACCTTCAATGAATAAAAAATTAAGTAAGAAAGTAACTAACTTTGACCCTTGACAAATACCTAAAGCTCCAAAGAAGTCATTTCCGAGGAAAGGAAAGCCAGGTCTGTTCGCAAGAATGATCATTCTGAAGTTAGGATGCATCGGAATTATTCCTGGCAGTTTTCTTTGAGCCCTGATATCTGTGTGAGGAACAATGCGACGGCCATCCGATAAAATCATTTCTCCAGATTCAACTAGAGTCTGCAAAAAATATACGAGTCAAAAATTTGCCAAGAAAATATTGATGAATTTTTACTTTCAAAATGCAGGTGACGTGAGTGGGCGCCTTGTCTGCCTCATCAACAACCAAAACGTGACCCCATTTGCAAGCTTGGACCAAAGGTGAGTCTTCGTAAATGACGACTCCGTCCCGCACAGTCGGCTGGAGAGTCAGAGTTTGCACAGTTGTGTCCCTTTAAAAGAAAAAAAATATATATAAATTTTTCATTATCGCTGTTACCAAAAGTGGTTGAAAAAAATTATTCATGAAATTTGAGCAAAACCAATCATTTCATTTCTAAGAACTTTATTAGTCCCAATCAACCCTAGCTTATGTCAATGCGTAACTGTGACGCAGAAGGCTAAATTATTTCCTTGCACTTGATGCGATGATTTTCTGGGTCACTAAACGTACCCATGGTCTCAACAATCAGCGCTATGATTAAATTGCCCTTGGGGTCAGTGTTTGTGAAATATTTCAGCAGTCGAGTGAGACGCGCAGATCAGTCTACATTGTAATTTTGAAGTGTCAAGAGCGGAGTGCCCAACACGCAATGATGAAATTGTACGCTTGTGTAGCTGTATTAGTTTTATTACAAGTCGGTAAGCAAAATTTAAACTATATTCACGTTTCATGTCATTTTAGTTTTAATTTTCACTGCCTCTTGTGTTCTAAACTCAATATTTATTAAAATTATGTAATTGTCCTTAGGGTATGGAAGTGCTCGATGTACCAACAGCAAACTTCGTAAGTGTTGCCATAAATGTAATATTTTATTAAGTGAAAAGGCTTAAAAAAAATTTTAGCGGCTAAAGAGGACTTGATAGTAAAGGACGGGAAGACTTATTATTTGAGTAGGATCGAAGATGACAGGGACGTGCAGGTTAGATACCTGAATATAGAAAAACAGTAAAAAACTAAAAAAAAAAAATATTTCAGTTGGATTGGAGTTCAGCTCAGGCGTGGTGCAAAAAGCATGGAATGGAACTTGCTTCTTTAGAAACCAAAGACGAGCTACGTCAGTTGAGGGACCAGATGGGCGGTCAGTCAAAAATTAAGTTAATTAAGGTCATCGACCAATAAAAAAATCCACAGCCTACTTCTGGACCAGTGGCTACAGGACCAAAGGAGACACGTGGAAGAACGCTGAATTTCGGGATGTGATCACGGATACGTTCACTTGGGCGGGCACTGGTAAAAAAGTGTCTCTGGAAATCCGCAAGTCGTACTATGCTGGCGAATGTGTGGGCGCCAGCAAAGATGGACTTTACGCTTGGCCTTGCTCAAATTTGCGGTACTTTGTGTGTGAACTGGAAAACTGCTGAAAGACTAACTCACCTGTGCAGTTGAATGTATTCCCTTGGTCTATTAAGCAGGTACAGTAGACGGTCAGCCAGTTTGTTTTTGCCAACACCTTGATTGCCAACAAGCAGCAAATGCTCGCCCAACTCAAAATCTTGCATGAGCCATTCCAAAACCGCCAAGTGCTAGTTTTAATTTTTAAATAAATATAATTATTTTCCAAACTGACCATTTTTTTATGTATTACCTGGGGAACATCAAAGAACAAGACGTCCGGGACTTTCGATTTTGAAGTAGTTTTGAATCGGTTTATTACTGTGTTCCCAATAGTAACTTGCTCTTCATTTATCTCACAAGTAAGCCCTGCAGCTTCACTGTGTGGCACAGGTTGGACTCCAACTTCCGAAAGAGCACTGTCCAGCGCTTGGCGAGCCATGCTCGGCAAAAATCTTTTAAATAAATAATGCAGTATTAAAAATATAAAATTGCTTTGAATAAAAAAAGCACCTAGCAAGGCAAGCTCGTTGTATTGCGTCATAAACATTTTCATCAGGAAAAGACTTCATTCGTCGGGCAATTCTGAGTAATTGCCTCGTTGAAAAGGACCCTGCTAATGACTGAATGGTCTGATCTGCCGAGTTGCGCAAGTGATGCGCCACTTCAACCACTTTGTGTAATGGGCCGTCAATCCCACCATACTAGAATGAGACGCAAAGTTAATTGAGTAAACAAATTATTCAGAGTGACGTCTACCAAGTTGCCTATCACATGAAGCTCTTCCTGCATGCTCAGCGGTCGCATCTGGTGGTAAAGGAATAAGCTGAGCATTTCTGGTGACAACCACTGTCCTTGAGAACCCCCTATTTTCACTCAAATTGTAAAACGCAAATTGCAAAAAACATTGCGCTAACCAATGACAGGAGGTTCAGCAAGGCCGACTATCCTAAATGAAGGGTGAATTGGAAGAACTCCTGCGTTGGCAAGTTCCTCGTCAGTCATCTTATTATTTTCCTTTATTTTCTCATATCGGTCATGACGAACAAGTCTTTTTCCATCATAAAGTTGCAACTCTCGATCATGCACCAGCCTGAAATAAAATTGAAATGTTTTTGCTTATTTATTTTGTGACTTAAAAATACCTCTGAATCACAGCTAAGGTGCTAGCGTGAATTCTGTGAATCCCGTCCAGCAGGGCCATTTTGCCCTCGACGGCAGCAGTAACTAAAGGAGAGTTCCTCCAAACAGTATCTCCGTTGGCCAAAGTGGTTCTTTGCTGCAGAAGGTCCCTTGAGGTCATATCTTGGTAAAGTATGATGGGTTCAGTCTCGTAGGCGAGCAGGTCAGCTAACCTCTGCACGGTTACGCTCTTGCCACATCCCTTGGGGCCGATTAGACAAAGGTCTTGTGCGCAGTGAGACTGCAGAAGAGTGGCAATCAATGAGGACTGGTACGGAGTTTCGATGAAGCCGGGACTGTTGGATCGAGGCAAACTTTGACCTTTGACAACCTCAACCCTGCTTTGTGCTCCACCTGAGAGAAGGAAGAAAATTTACTTTAAAAAATCAGGGCATAATTTTTTTATCACCGGAGGAAAGTGAAACACTCAGCAAGTTTTGACTAACTGGATTAATTTCATTAATTGAGGTAGTGGCATCAATTGGCTTGATGCGGAAACTATTGAGCACCTCATCGACACTGGACCTTCCCTCCTTTGCGAGGAAACTTTGATACGGGTACAGTCTGAGGAAAGCTTCGTGCACCGACATGTTAGGAAACAGTTCCTGCCAAAGACACGCAAAACTTTCAATAGTACTCATTACGCTACTTATAGTTCAGTTTGATGACTTTACCAGCAATTTTGCAGCTGCTTGAAGACTGTCAGTGGGAAAATCAGGTAAAGAAAGTGCCTCGGACTCGGGCGAGAGCAATGCATGTGCGCAAGAGACGAGCTGGGAAAGTTTTGAAGGGTCAGCAGATGGGTGCGACTCTTGCAGGGCGGAAACTTGGGCCTGAAACAAAATTTAAACTTTTCTTTAATAAATAAAAATAATCCGTTGTAAAAATAAAAATAAATCTGCTGTTTCAAATGAAATGCTGTGATAAAAGCAAATTATTTACGGAAGTCCTAAATAATTTTAATTAACTCCATCTGACATTTAAATTTGAAGTGACTGTAAATTTAAAACATTATTTGTGAAGAAATTAGTTTAAATTGATTACCAACTTGTGGGGGAAGTGTGCTAGTGAAAGGCATTATTTGAACAAAGCCTTGAGGCACAAAAAAATGGCAAACTGTTTTAAAAGCCAGCAGGGATTCTCGACTTCCTTAGAAAAAAAACTAATTTACTTATTGGCGGTGACAGCTTTGTTCAAAACTAAACGCGTTCCATCGATCCGTCAGGTCTGAAAAACACCACAAATTTTTTCCCCATTTCAAAGCAATGAAACTACCACGAGGGGAATTGAAATTCATTAAATGGAACATGATTGAAATTTTATCGAGAGCACGCGGTGAGTGTTGAGAGCACAAGTAAATTGAACCGTGTGCGATCCCTATCGTGCCTATCAATCCACTAAATCGCGCCAGCCGTGCTCGCACGCGTGAATCAAGTCATAAACAATTACCGCAGCCCCACACTTGGAAATATTTCAATTTCACTCTCAGCGCTAATGGTCCCTTTGCAGGCGAGCGCGAGAAACTTTTAATATTAAATTTTATTGTTTTAATCCTAAACTTTTTGTTTCTGCGCCAAAATGACGAATGGTTTCTCCGCAGTGATTTTACAGGACAAGGTAAACTTTCATCCTCAATCAATATCTACGAAGAATGATGGAAGCTAAAAAAGGTAACCTTCAATAAATTTATATTCTCAAATAATGACGATATTTTTTTAACTCAAGTACCCCTACAGCCTTGCAATGTATTTTTATCGCTACTTTAATTTTAAAATGTATTAATTATGTTTGAAATGACAGCTTTGTTCTGATGCAAAACGAAAATACTGATCAAATTACGATTTGAAAACTCTCCGGTCTCTTAAATTTTAATTAATGCTTTGTTACACCAAGGTTTCGTAAAATTTACTTTTATTCATCTCAATCAATTTCAGCTTTAATCACTCCCTTCTTCCTGAAAACCGATTTCACCCACTCCCAAATGTACTCAAGCACCTCATTGCAATCATCAAAGTTCGTAACAGCTTTAATTTGATTTTGTAGCCCATGTAAAACTCATAAAGAGAGCGTGGAAAAGCGCCGAATTTTCCGGGGGCGTGCACTAGCTTTTTAAAAAGCGCCGCCACTTTTTCCAGCACATCTGCCGCGTGGAAAAACTGATACTGGCCATATATTGGGAAAGTTGACGTTTTTGGGAATTATCACAATTTTTTGTTTCCAGTTTTTTTCCAGCAGCGGTCTGCTACGCGGCTCCTATACCCACTCAGGAGGTACGCAGCGACGAGTGGAGCAATCTGAGCCGGGCTGGGTATGCAACCCACGTTACCATGGCGACCACCCTCATCTCGGCGCTCGGGGTGTGTGCTGATCTCCTGGCACGACGACGCCAACCCCTCTTACAGCAGCAGAGTTAGAGGCGCCTCCTGCAGACGCCACCACGCCTGGCACTCGGAAAATAATTCGGTGCGCTTTTCCGATGACTGGGAAATTCTTAAAAATGTCTCGCGCGTCTCGGTTGCTGCCACGAAATAATCTCTTTTCCAAGTTTTTAAAAATGGTCGGCGACAAAAAATTATCTGTTATTAATTACTTAATATATTCATAACATCTATTCCAACCTTGCAACACACCCAACTTTGTGTTCATTGTGTGTTAACAGGTGTAAATACAACAGCGCAAAATTGAGAATATAGAGAAAAAAGCTAAAAAAAAAGCAGTCTAAAACGAAAAGGGAAAATAAATTTTTCATTTTAATCGTAAAAAAGAAAATAATTTATAAATAAAGTAACAATTATTTAAAATTTAGTATATTTAATGCTTTAGTTCAATAATTTAAAAAAGCTGCACGAATTTACTAACATGAAAAAAGATTCTGACGCTTTTGAGAAATATTCAAACATTTTAAACTTTGATTATTTATTTCTTTGTTTATTCTTCATTCGGAATTTTCAAGTGAACATTCATGTTGCAAATACTGACAAAACTAGCTTGGAAGAGCTTTAAATCGCTTCATTTCAGTTTTCAAACAAACTTTTGATTACAAAAAGTGCCCTTGACAAAAGTTAGACGATATCACGAAATGGAAAATTATGAAATGAAATAAGTCTTTCAAGTCTCTGTGTGTCCTCTTCCCACAACGAAAGTAAATTTTAACGACAAAATGTTTAACCAGCTAGCGAAGTATAGTTTACGACCAACCAACTTTACAACACGGAAGCTCTATTTCGCATATCGAAAAACACAATTCTAATTAATATAGTTGCGCGAGAAAACAGCGAGTGTGTCCTCTTGTTCGGGCGCGCATTCTCATTAGATTGCCAAACGCGTGTTTTACAAAAGTTCTCGGCAATTTTAGCATGGTTGTGGAGAGTATGTCGCGTGTCTCGACTCCATCACGACCCCCGGGCCCAACTAATGCTCTAATAAAGGCAGCAGTGTGAGTGAGTCTTGCATTATGCCCAGATAAATTATATTCCTTTACCACCACCATGTTGTGAATGTTTTATTTTTTCTAAACGCTGCATGTTTTAAGAATCAAGATTCGGCTGTCGGATCCGCAACGATAAATCTTCACATTATTCCAACCAGTGAGCAGCACGCCGTGTAAAAAGCATAAAAAAATCAGGGATAGCGATTCAATCCTATAAGCACAAGTTGTTAATTAACTTTTTTATCCGTGAGTTTTCTTTAATTAAAAGGTAATTTTCTAAATACAGATCAAATTTACGCCCCGAATCGATTCCCAAGGCAATTTTATTGGTACTTCAGCAAAAGAGACTGCCCTCTGCTCCGATTTCTTTAATGTATAGCCATAATGGAACCATAGAAAATTTTCTTTTCCCTCCGAGATGATTTGTATTGCAGTATCTGATTCAGGCGTTTAAATCTATTGTTACTAAAAATGATTTAATTACATTTGCCACAAGATACAAAATCTAGTGGTAGGGAAATAACAAAAAGGTTCATTGTAGGATGAAGTATAGAACATTAATTTTCTGACAGTGTGGAATTAAATCATTGGCGTTGTCTCTTTTGATGTCAAGCATTTCAGTTTTGATACACCTTATTTGCTCATTTTTCAACGTCTACAAATTTCTTTGTATGACTAGAGAAAAAAAATGAGAGTCAATAAAAATTACTTTTAACAAAATGAAAGAAAAATTTGCAACAGTTAAAATATTGACGCAAGAAATGATTAAAAGCAATCTCAAATAAAAAAAAGCAAATGGATTGAAATGAGGACAGTCGGGGTAGCCAAAAATTCAGCAAGGGATCATGTGGCCTTGCGAACGTGAAGTGATTTACTACTTTTTCGCACGCACTCACAAAATACACTTCATTTCATACATATCAAGTAAATTTTCAACGTTTTCACAAAATCGAGAGTGGTTACTCGGCGTTTTCCCATAGCAGGTAAGATGTCAAAGCGGCAGTTCTGGATTGAGGGTGATTTATTGCTCGAAACAGACATGGAAAGGATTACGGTGGCGACGCGTCGTAAATCAAAACAATTAGAGCTCGAATTCTATATAGCATTTAATTACACGGCTTGCATGCATTGTGTGCGATGCTAGATGTAATAAGCACCAGATAATTCATTGCGGCCGTACCTGCACTGTATTATTTGCCCATATCGTAGCGTGCTCGCCCAGTGTCGTCGTATTTATTACTTCGGCATTCCGCCCATTTCCCACGTGAATTCACAACAGAACATTTTCGCCACGAAATAAACCTCTCTCTCTTATTTATGCAATAAAACTTTTGCCAAACGATTGTATTTATTTCTCGAGTTCTGCGATAAAATTTTATATCTGGAAAGAACACAAAACGACCACTTGTAATTTAATGGTTTTCAAAGTGTTGGCGTCAAATGCTAAAAGCTTAAGAAAAATAGGCGCGTTAAAGCTAAATTTGCACACTTTGCATGTGTGGTTGCTGCTGCGGTATAAACACGGAGTGGCCATGTCAGACTATCATTATCCTCATACATTATAGGGTAAGTATTTATGGTAAACAAAAGCAGCACCATAGCATGAGAAAGTTTTGATATGCAAACTACATTATGTGAGGTTTACTTTGAAAACACATGTTTAGTTTAAAATTAGACAAATAAATAATAAAATTTGAGAAAACAAGCGTTCAAAAGTATAAATCGAAATGAGAAAAAGGTTTCTTCAACTTAATTAAAGAAGGAAGAATTTTTTAAATAGGAATTTTTTTACATAAACTGCGATTTCCTTTTTATTTATTTAGAAACAAATCGTCTGCCTTCTTTCTTTTAAACTAATAGTTTAAATATCTTTTATCAAATAATAGCTTTAAAATTAAATATAATTTTCGTCCTTTTTTAAAGATGTAAAACTTCTAACTTGAGACAAGATTCTTGAATTTTAAATTTATTTTTTACAGCGGCGGCCGAGTCTCTTTTGATGTCAAGCGTTTTAGCAGACATCTGCAGCTACAAACACTTTCTTTTAATTTTTTTCCAATTTAAAACTATTTTATAATGTCCGAGAAGAATAAATAATAATAACTCAATAACTGTTTCAATTAATTCAATTCCCTGGACAGCATAATAATTTAGTGTGTCACGCAGTCTTTAAAGGTGAAATGAAATGTCAAACGCGAGAGAGCTTGCTTAAATGTGCGTACATTCATTCTATTAGGGCGCGGTGAAACAAGGGTTGCTTTTGTGACACAGTTCCCGCACCAGCAGGTTCTGAGGGGGTCTTCCAGCCAGCGCTCATCCTCGGAGGAATCGATAAAAAAAGAGCTGCTGCACGCCAAGTCACAGAAATTTTTGTACGTTCCAAAACGTGTTACGCGATCCTGTCTTTTCCCGACAGGTTATTGACTTGAGATAATACGGTGGCTATGATATGAGAAACACAGACGTCGCTTTTCAATGCGTTTGATTTATCTGCAACCGGAGGCAAATTTAACATGCGCACACCGAAAAATAAAACGTATTTTTTGAACGAAATGAAAGACTGCTGGCGTATTAGATGCCAATTTTCCATCATAAATCTAAACTCCATTCGTGTCTGGATGCAATAATATTTTTGAAATTTTCTAGCTGTACATTTTTTTTATTGTAGGTTTGAAGTTTAATTGAAGTAACACACCGTCGCCTGAGCAAGCACATTCTTCAAGGGGAAGCGTGACACGATGGGGATTAATTAATTACACTAACCCACTGAACTATTAATGCAAAATGTAATTATATTCAGAATGTGCAGGTACACGCGATATACGAACATTTCTCGAAACACATGACGGGAATGCTGTGAAATATTATTGTTTCACAGAAGAAAAAAAATCTGTCATAAAAGTATGTGGCATTTCACAGGGGGACAAGGTCAAATATAATTCAACAAAAGTGTGAATTGAGGAACAACAATTACATTTAATTTATTCAAGCAAAGCTCAAATTCAGACTTTTCTTTCAGCAAGCAAATCCACAAAGCTAGTTTATAAATATATACAAAAATTGCACATAATTCGCAGTCAAAGTTTTTACTCTCAACACAGCTACCTGTCACTTGAATGGTCACTGATTGCGTCACTATCAATTCGAGGTATAAAAACGTGTAGCTGCGGTCGACCTCTGGATTGCTGATCGTTTGCCCAGTGGATCGAGGGTGATGACTTCACTGGGGTGACAGTGATTACAGGTTTCAGGCCTGCAGCGAGCTTCCGAGGAACAGATTGGGCTGTAATTGCCAGCGTTTCATCTGAAAAAAATAATTTTTTCCCTCAAAATTCTATTTTTATTTGGCATGTCATAAAATTAATTTAAATTGTGATGAAATTTTTGGAAAAATTAGAAAATAATTTTGGAAAAAAAATACTCACTATTGCCAAGTTTAGATGACCATTTTGCAGGCAGTTTTCTCTTAACCCTGATTCTAGGCTGCTTAAGAGGAGACGATTGTGTAGACGGTCTACTCATAGGCGACTTTTGCGCCCTCTTCAGAGTCCTCAAATCAACCACCCTTGGTCTATTTCTCTTCGCCTCCCTCTCCAGCCACTGCAGCACCCTTTCAGACAGTGGATTCAAATCTGGCAGCCAGTTGTTGTAATTCGGAAGATCAAATTCTTCAGCGTCTTCCTCGTCCTCGCACTGGTTTTCTTTGTTTTCACTTTCAGAGGCCGAAGACGTTTCGCTGCTGCTCGTTTCCAATTCTTCCAAGACAATACGTTTCGGACACGGTTCCTCCTCTGCTTCAACTGGCAAAAGCGGAAAAACTTCCTCCTCGGGGCTGGGAAAGTCTGGAGATCTTTTCTTCTCTGAAATTATTGCAACCTTTGGTTCGGAGGCGAGCACCAGTTGGAGTTTCATGAGACACCTTTCGAGTTCACTGGGACGCGGTCGCATCGGCGCCGGAACTTCTGGAGCAGATTGGGACAGCAGAATTTTGCTGAATCGGTTTGGCGCCGGCTCGTTTTTTGCAAAAAGTGGATCGTCTTTGGAAAGGATGGCGTGTCGGACGCCATTCTGCCACACCGTCTTGACGAACAAGGGCCGCTGAGAGGTCTCCCAGCGGGCCCGCTGTACCAGCGCGGGCATGGCTCACTGAACGAATTCGCATTTCCACGGAGAGAGCAGTAAAAAACAAAAAGCGCGGCGCAAGCGCTTCCTCCGTCTGTCAACCCATTGCGTGATTTTGTTCCGAAAGATAGCGATCGGCCGAGGCGATCCCCGAGGACCCCGAGACAGCCTAAATCAACATTTCCTTCCGCCTAACCGTGTCTATTAGCCCTCTCTTTATCAAACCCTTATTTAAAAATAAATTCGTAAGTGACTGGCTGAACTGCAAGGCAAACAGAGTGCGCTTTGATTGGCATCAAAAGTTATTTTGAGATATTTTTACTGTAATTACAGAATAAACAAAAAGGTGGAAAAACGTACCATGGGAATTTTTAGTACCTCCACGCAACCCTCCTGACACATATTACATGTAATAAACATATTTACGATGTGAATGACGGCAGCGTTCAGTGCTTCAAAATTTACTCTCGGAAAAAGAAGGAATTTCTGCATTTATATAAATATATTATTTTCTAGATTAACATGTGCCCGCTTTGTTATATAATGGGACATAAGAAGATAATTTCAATTAATTTTTACATTCGCATAGCAAAATTAATGTATGTGTGAGTGTGTGTGTGTGTGTTTTTTTAATTATAAAAATTTTAAGAAAAATTTTGTATGAATTAAAATTTTTAGTAAAAAATTATGTCCTACCTGAAATGATAGATTGTGGACATCCCTAGCTTGGAACCTGGACCTCAGGGGTGGGTCCAGTGGATTCCCGGTATATCTAGGAACAGGAAGACCTAGAGCAATGACTCTGAAGTCTTCATCTACTCTAACAAGTTTCCATCCATCCAGCTCCTCTTTAGAGTGTTCCTTTAATCACAAAAATAATGCATATTAATTTAATACAAATTATCTAAATTTATTTCAAATTTATATCCTAAATATTTTGAGATGTTTAATTTATTTATTTTTTTTTTTAAATTACCTCCAATAGTTTGTCGTATCTTTTTGCTGCCATGAGAAACCTGCCATCTTCAAGCTGCATTTCTCTGTTTTCGAGCAAATTGTTTAACACCGGCAAGACATTTCTCTCGACCTTTTCAATGCCCTCGAGTATGAGGACTCGGCCCTCGATGGCAGCGCGGACGGCACTTTGGTCGAGGTAGGTGGCAGTGCCCTTGGAGATTTCCCGCCGCTGCTTCAAGTCAGACTCAGTAGTGTCTCTGGACAAAGACACGTACTCGAGTTCTCGGTTGGTCAACTCGAGGAACTGCATGGCGATGGTGCGCCTCAGAGGCCCAGGACGGCCAATCAGAAAGATGTCTTGGTGGAGGACGTCCTTCTGGAGCATCCATCTCAAGTGGGCAAGGGTCTCTTGGCTTAATCCTTTATCACCGACTAAAAGTTTTGAGAAAACAATTAATTTATTTGTTTAATTGTTTTTAATTAGATACATACTGTAATTGCATGGCACATAGGCTGGCTGCTTTGGCACCTTCAGTTCTTTAGAAACATCCCCTATTGTAATTTTTCCACCTTCTAAAATAATAATAAAAAAATGCATTGGAGTAAGGTTCAATTTCAAATGGGATTTCAAATTTACTTGACGAATATTGTCGGGTTATTACGGCACCATCAGAGTTGGACACAGTTTTATGAATTGACAGTTTGTGGCCATTCAATATTCGGCTTAACACCGATATTCTTCTGGCCGTCGACATTTGTCCAAATTAGAATCAAGTACAAAGTCAAGATAAAAATATTCCAATCATGTTTGTCGAACAGACTCAAATTATTTGACCTAAAAATCACAACTTTCTGAAGTAACTTCACTGACAGCTGTTTCCACTTGCAGGTCAAGGGTCAATTTTGAAAACTTTTGAAATCTTATCTTCAATATGAGCCTAATATATTGAGATTTGATTAAAAAATAAAATCTCACTCGCAAAATCACAACAAAAGCATGCAGATCATCTGGCAAAATTCTCTATACGCGTGGAAGTGCATCCGAGCGCCATCTAAATTCTGAAAATTACAAATAAATAAATAAAATTTTCGCCGCTAGGTGGTCAATTTCAGATCAAAACAAAAACATCAAACAAACCAAAAACCAAACCAACACAATAAGAAACTAGAAACCAATACTAGAAACCAAGAGAAACGTACTGCTGCCAAGGTAATTGTGATAATGTGCATTATACATATACATATGTATGTACATACCTTTTTTGTTCACACCAGTAATACCCATGTACATATTTATGCAGAAGACATTTCGAAAATATAATGTAAAATTAAATCACTAAATGAATAATTTCATTTCAGTCAAAATGTCTCTTGGCCTAGTTGCGTATGGAAGCAGTGGCGAAGACAGTGATGCCGATAGTGGAGACGAAACCATTCCAGTCACTCCGTTGTCCATTAAAAAGGGCCTTGCCTTGCCTGCCCCCAAAAAAGTAACAACAGCAGCGGACGAGGATGAAAACCCTGTGGCCAAGCAGCCCAAAAGCATGTTTTCCGCCCTCCCAGCTCCTAAGAAAGACGTTCTTGCAGGTTTGGTAGAAGAGACTGATGACCCGATTCCCTCAGGCAAAAACGGCACCGGTCCAAAACAGAAAGTAAAAATTTCTGTTCCATCCCTAACGCAGGTAAATTGTGGATGAAGAAATTTGGCAAAACCTATTAAAATATAAATTTGTTCAGTTCAAAAATGACGTTGAGGAGCCGAAGCCTAAAAAGCAAAAACTAACGCCAGTAAGTTTCCAAAAGGTTATACAATGAAATTGTATTCAAATTTTTTATTTTTTAGAAAGGATCAGGTCTTTTGGCATTTCTGCCAGAGCCGGTGAACACAACGACAGGCAAGAAAGCGATGATCCCTCATATATTGACTAGGAAACCCCTTCCGAAACCTGCCAAGAAACCAGTTCCAATGAAAAAAGCACCTCTACAGAAACCTGCGTTAGTCACAAATTATTCAGAGTCTGAAGATGAATCCGGAGATGAAAGCAGCGGATTCACTCCATCGACTAGTAGATCTGGCATAGATTTCTTCTCTCTAACGAACCAAGTCCAAACTGTTGCTGCGGAAATTAACCTGGACGATCTTCTTCCTCAAGCAGGACCTAGCAAGCCAGAACAAATTCCAGAAACTACTTACGCTGAAGTCGAGGAGGTGGAAGAGACGGAGGTTGTCAGTGATGAGCCTCAGGAAGAAAAGGAGCTTTCAGACGAAGCGGTAACTTTATTCTAATGAATTTTGATCTTTTTTTTTTATTTGAATTTTTTATAGATTCGCAAACTTTGTGGCCGAAGACAAGAGGACCTCACTAACATGATTGATATCCAAGGTGAAGCTGTTTATGCCGATTCGAAGGAGTGGATGTTGAGGAATTTGACAGAAGAGCCCGAGAAAGACTACTCACACAGAGACAAAACGCCAAACTCCACACAAAAGAGAAAGCACCAAATCACATATCTTGCTTTCCAGGTTTGTATTATGAAACTATATTTATGCATTACAAAATTAAGCAATGGGTTTATTTTTAGGCGAAGGAAAGAGAAACGGAGCTCAAAAACCAATGGGCTGCCAACAGACAGTCAAAGAAGCAGACTCAAGCAAAATATGGGTTTTAGATTAATTTACTGTTAGTTTTGTATTACTAAAAAACAATAAAATGGAATTCTAATGTTTTTATCTACCTGCCTCACGTTTTTCAAATATTTCTATCTCTATTCCATAATTTTTATAGCAGAGAAATAAAAAACAATTTTCATTTTATCCATTAATTAAGATAATTCATTGTCAATTCAAGTAAATAGCTTACAAAATGGTAATATCAACATCAATGAGATTTTACACACAGATAAATATTTAAAATCCAAAAGTTCGCAAATGTGTGACACCAAGAACAGTGATTACGTAAATGATTGTTTTGGACCGGAATAAAATTGTTTTCAAAAATTCAGTCTTCCCATAAGATAACAGAGTTGTACAGTACTCATATCAATATTGATTTTTTGGAAGGGTTTGAATGGCTTATTCGTTTTAACGTTGTAACATGATTTTTAAGAAAAAAGTTTTAGGACTTGAACATGTCAAAAGCGCCATTGTCCATGTTATTTTTTAAGAATTCAATCTCCGCATTCAGATCCTTCATTTCCTTCTCCTGCTTCTTTATGGCATTCTGCGCTAGATCAAAGTCAGGGGGCAAGTCTTTAAATTTGGCTAAAGCTGCATCAAGTCGAGCTTCCACTTTCTTTTCTTTCTCCAACTTTTCCAAGTAGGCCTTCACTTCCTTATACTCTTTGAAACCTACGAAGAATTTCTCAGCTTCCTAGAAAAATACGATTTTCTCTAGTATTTTAACTATATATAAATGTGACAGGTAATTGTACTTGGTCGTCGATTTCCTCCTTAATAGCTGCGACTTTCTCTTCGACAAAATCAGCACACTCGGACGGCTTGACTTCGTTGTCTTCATTGTCACTAATTGTACAAGTTTTGCTTAGAATAAGTCACAATTTTTTGATTCATATTATAATTATACCTTTCTTCAAAATCTCCTAGAAATTGTTGCTTCATTACATCAATTTGTTCCAAAATTCCATCCAGACTCTGAGATATCATTTCCATTCTGGCCAATTCTTTCTCGTAATGGGCACTTCCAAGCTCACACATTACATCGTTGCCCTCCATTCCCTCCTTAAACTGAGTAATAATTTTTTAAATAAAAAAAAAACAACATTTAGTTGAATAGTTAATTAAAAACCCTCTTACACTTGAATATTGCCCTGCTGTAGATGCAAGGGCAATGAGAGATTCTGGTTGAAGATCATTCATTCCAAATGGAAGGTCTTTTAACACATCATCATAGTTGGACACTAGAGAAGGTAAAATTTTTTGAAATTAGTTGGTTAAAATTTTTTTGAAGAAATCTTTCAATTTTTGATATAAACAGAAATAATCAAAATGAAATACAAAATACCGGAAGCTTCTAGTTGCTTCTGAGTGTTTAAAAGGGAGTTAAAAACACTGTTGGCATCAGCATCACCAGCTTCGTTAAGCATTTTCATTTGTGCAAATTTAGCGGCCAACTCTTTGCTCAGCGCGAAGGAGGCATCTCCTCCGTTGTTCTGGCTCACCCACTCGTAGGGAAACTGCAATTAATATTTCAAATTATTTCTCAAATTTATTTAAACTATTTTAATTCAATAAAAGCTGAGATATTTGCCTCAAAACCCTGTCCTGTTGATGAGCTCGGATCACTGCCTGTTTGTTTTTCCGCCATTTTTCATCGCAGTGCTCCAGAAACAGATGATTTTGACAAGACCTCTCTTCACAAGGCTGACGTAAATCTAGTTGTCGATCGGTAGCAGTCTGTATTTTTAAAAATATTACGTTTTCTAGGACAAAATTTTAATCAAAAACTATATACTGACGGAATTCAGGACGGGATCTTCAGCAGGTGGCTCAGGTGTTAGGGTCAGGTGCGCGCCCCTTTCGCGACGGCAGCCCCGCCCCTTTCGGCTCCCGATGCTATGGTGCGTAACTTCCGGCAGAGAGAACTTGTGGAGAAATGTCACAGTGAGCGAATTGGACTGAAATTTGTGTTTATGTGTGTGAATGACGTCTGGAAAAGATACCATGGGGTGAGTAAAGGTTGTCTGCGGGGGATGGGCCGGCGCCGCGGCCCCGACCCCGGCGCCGCTTGCCCTCTCCGACCTCGATCCATACTCCCGGGTTCGGAGCCAATGTTAAACCCTGGGGCTGTTTGCATGCAACTCCTTAACACATTCACTTCGTGATCGCCGCACATATCGGCCCAAGGCGTGCTCCGTCAACACTTGAGGGCTGCTGATTTTTGTTCGGGGTTGTTTGACACCGAGACGGGGTCAGCCGGCCAACCAAATAAGGCCGTGTCCGTTCTCGGCACGCGTTTTTTTTTTGCGGAGAGATGTGATGTGATCGATATTGATCAAAATCAGCAGCCACTGGCTGTTGCACCTGCTTCTAAAATTAAAATTTTCTGGGGAAAGTAGTTTTAAACTCAGACCGATCGAAGGTCTGCTTAGTTCGCTGGCCGTCTTTGGAGGGCGAAGTTGACTTCAGTATTGATTTGTCAATTTCAGCCCATTATCGTCTTTTTCCGCCAGCCCTGTTGTCATGTTAATGTTTAACTTTTAAATTTAACTGTGTTTGTGTTTAACAATTTTTATAGATTTGCTCATTAATAATTTCTGGTTAAAGCTAGACAAGTTAAGAAGGAAATAAATCACTAAAAAATTGCAATTATGTGCTCATCTTATTGATTATTTATTTTGTTACTGATATAAAGAATATTTGTCTTTGAATTCAATTTAAATATTTTCCTCTAATTTCATTGTATTTTTTTTTAAGGAGTTAGAAAATCCTTTGAAGGTTTTAAAATAATTGAATTTTACTAGCTGAAAATTGATTTATTTTAATAGACTCCTCCTTTGATGTAATGAGAAAAGTTTTGAAAACATTTTCCACATTATCTCTTTGTGGTTCGACTGAACCAAAATTATTACATAATTGCTCCACTTTAAACAACTTAATTAAAACCAGAAGCCATCGTTTTGAGTGCAACTATTAATTATTAAAGGCAATTAGCTTTTAATAGAGAGGCTTTGGCCCTTCGTCTGTGTTTAATCGCTTCAAAGGAGTTTTGCCGCCTCTGTCAGTCTCTGCACCCATCGCCGCGCCGCTAATCGAGCTAGTTCATTTTTTCCACTGCCCGCTCATCCATGCGGGGAAAATGCGGTTAAAACAACTCTTTTGATGGCACAACACGGAGAATTAAAATGATAATCGAACGAAAGTGCCGGCCACGTGCATGCATAAAAGCTGCTCATTTGTCGACACGCCCTTGCAGCACCTTAAATAGAAATCATCCTCGTCGGCAGTCGCCACACAAAAAATAATAATAAGGAAAAGGGAAAAGAGCGTCGCATATGAATTGTAAAAGAAAAGGCGTCGGCCTGATTTGCTTATGCACACACGCGTGTAAATTAATGCCCTGGCGGCTTACGTTGGCGGCACCTGCCCGCGAAAAAATTTGCAGCTGCCGCACGCAGATGCAAAATTTGGTTATAAAGTCATACGTTTTGTTTACGGTTTTTTGCGCTTTTTGAATAGGGGCACAAATGATAATTTTTAATAGCAAGATTAAAAATTTTGTTGAAAAATTTTTTGCATTTTTTAACCGGATCCGAGTTCTAATTTATGTCAGATTTATAATTGACTTTTTAAAATATTTGATAAAAATATTTATTATAAATTAATTTTTTGACATTTTTTTCTTTCCACCCATTTGTACAAAAGGAAAGAATTTGATATTGCAATAAAATAAATCTATTCAAAATTGGCTTTCATTACAAAAGCGGGGCATTATTTTTCAAGTCAAAGAATTTATAATTTTTAAATGGCAAGAACTCAATTTATTTAACGAGCCACAAGTTCACACAATTTTCTCTGCGTTTTACAAGCCATAATTGAGTAACTAATTCACAGTCGTAAAATCAATAAGCATTTCCTCCTCACCAGACTTTCAAAACTGCTCCCAGATTGCGTGCCCGCTCTCTTTATTTCTCCAAACACGGTCGCCTCATTCTCTCTTGCTTGCTTACCTCGTTGCAGTAAAAAAGTGCGACGCGAGCAGTAAAAAGACGTAAAACGAGGAGTACAAAATGCAGCGTTTCCTGTCTCTCGCTGCAAACGTGCAATTAAAATTTAGTGTCTGCGCTGAAAATTTGCCTTTCGAGCAGTGCACTAATGTGTTAACCTGCAGGACTGGCACTGCGAACACATCTTGGACGGCGTCTCACCTTTTTTTCATGCGGTCTCACGCGTGTCAAATTAATCTCGTTTGGGAAAATCAAGAGGCACTGTCGCATGAAACGCTGCTGCCCGCTCGGCTTTTGAATTCGAACGAGTATATTTAAGCAACTTTCAAGCAGGATTTAAAATGAATCGTTAATAACACATTCACATATTTAACATATTATAAAAATAAAAAGTTAAGCAAGAGTGAATAAATTATTTTTTAAGTTCAAATATTTTGAAAATTCTCAGTGCGTGTGTTTCTTGGATTAATATTATTTTATTTAAATAATTTAAATATGTTCCAATCAGAAACAAATTGACTCCGCATCATAAATTGAAGTACTTTTTATATCCTTTATTTTTTTAGCGTCTCAATAGCTTCATGCAAAGTAATGGCTATGTTTCCACATATTATTGTCTCGTCACCTATGCAGTGATAAAGGTATGCAAATTTAATTTCCGCCGACACCGATCTTGCCTTTCTGCTGGGACGCGGCTTTCTGTGTCGTCCTCCTTTGACGTCTTTAAATCCTCTCAATCCAAGTGGTTTTAATTTTTTTTTTGTTAAAAATCCAAAAAATAAGCACACACTTTTCCAGCAGGCGCTCAGATTCATTGTACGTGCGCGTGGAAAAAATGGTACAATTGAGCGAGGCGGAAAAAGCAGCAACCGGCCTTACCGCCTGCATGCGCCGTGTGTGAGCTGTGGGCTCTGAAAAGATGGAAAGAGATAGAGAGAGACCAAATAATGTTACGCTTTTCTGGACTCTTTGAAGTCCAATATTCGTTGAAATGAACTGCACAAAGCCGTATTATTGCATGTGTGTGAGTTAAAAAAACCCACTGCAGGCTCGCTTGCCAAGATCAAATCATATTTACATATTATAATAAAAAAGAAACTCAATAAATTTATATTATCAGAATAAATATTTAAGCTTTTTAGTGTGTTTGTAGAAAACTTATCAAGATAAAGATAAAATTATTTTTTCTCATTATGTATTATTCATGAATTGTAATGTGTACATAAAATTTAAGTTAATTGTTCTTTAAAACTAGTACCAAGGAGTACAACTTTCAATTAGCATTTTCATAAAAAAAAAAAACATCAATATTAAACACAAAAAAAAATGCGATTTTTCAATTAAATGAAATCCACCACCACGATCGCGAAATTATAATTTTAGCTTGCTATTGCAGACTTTTGTCAGATTTAGTAGAAATTTAACATCAACCTTTTCAGTGAAATAATCGAGCATTCCTAATGGCAACATAATGGTTTTTATCATTTATGCGCATTCGCATGTTTCAGGCGAGCGAAAAATAGTTTGCTATGGAATTTTGTACATTCAGGCTCAATTCACGCATGTTTTACGACGCACACGGCCCCGTTTATTATTCAATGGCCGGCTGAATGTCCCAATCCGCCGGCGCGTTTAATTTGGCCGCAAAGCGATTCGTGAGCGCAGTTGGCCGAAATTAAAATCTCAATTCCCACCAGTCGGTGAAATATTCAGAGCGGTTGAACGAGTCGAGGGCGCCGTCCGTACTCGGAAGTAATGCCTTGTCTTGTCGGTCTTATTATTCAACAGGACACTAATTACTTCCACTTGTGGCCCCGAAGAGCAAAGACGACGAAATAAATGGGAAAGGTCCCTGCCGTGTGCTCACAGCTCGATGATTTTAATTAGACTCCAGCAGCGCACCAACGACCCATAGCTATCAATGGGTCGTCTGCAATTTGGACGTCGTCCATGTTATTTTTGGCCGCCGAAACTAAATATCGATCCTTGGCATGATTAATGGTCCACTTTGAGCTCAGAGTTTCTTATGTGTGTGGGTGCCATTCTGCATCAGATAAGACCGCGAGTGAAAGTGAAAATGGGCGAAACTAATTTGGATTGTCGTGCCTATTGATTCTGCTGAGGGTGCACAAGTTTATCTTTAGGCATTCGAGTGCTGAGCTTTTTGCTAAAACTTCTTTTAGCAGGTTTATCGTTTTAGGCAAGATTTATTTGAGATTGAACCTTCCTTGAAGAGCAGAGATAAAAATATTATCTTTATTTTTATTGCTAAATTATTAGATCCAAATTCATTATTTACCATGACATTCATATCTTAATTCTTTTTATTTATTAGTAACACAATTCAAACCTTTCTTATAATCTGGTATTAGAGAGATTTTTTTATTGTTTCATTACTTATCATTTTTATCTCTTATATAATAGATCGTTTAATTATCAATAGAAGATAAAGTTTGGTTAGCCTGTTAAATTAATTTAACGCAAATCCAGCTTTTAAACATTCCTTTCTTTCAGCAGGAAAAAATTTCGCTTTTATCCAAAAGCAAGAGAAAATAAATCGTGGTTTGAACTGAAGGGTTCTCTTGTGCTAATTTTTAATTAAGCACTTAAAAAGCAATTAACCGTTAAAAGAGAAAAGCAAACAAAAAATTTCAGAGGGAACATTTTAAAGAGGTTCACCGAGTAGTGCATTTTAAATTTGCGGCGGGTTTTAACAGGCATTAAAATAAAATGTATGTATGTCCCGGCGAAAAATTATTGCCCGGCGCGCGAGGAGAGAATTTTTTTGTAAATGGCTCATCGCGCCAAAACTCAGTGAACCTTTTGGGGCGACTCCCACTTCGGCCACGTTCAGCCAATCAGGAAGAGCCGAGCAAGTGGTAGTGCTTGGCAGGCCGCTGGCAGCGCTGCGGGCGCTGCGGCGACCCTGGCCGGCCGGTCAAATAACAATATGGCGACGCGTTTATCTGAAATCGAGTTTTCGACGACAATTTCGGCTGTGTCGGCGGCTAAGCAGACCGTTCGGCCAATATGAAGACGTCTGACGTCGGCCAGAAATTCTTTCCGCGAGTCGTGCTCTCCGCAACGCGTATTAATTAGAGGTAAGCGTGTTCTTTTCGTGTGATATGGGGTGCTTGGAACGAGTGTTACTGATTTTCAATGAATGTTGGGACGGGGAGGCGGTATGGCCAAGGGCCAAGATTTTTTTATTTAGAATTTAAATTGTATAAATATTTATTTCTTGATTTTGTTGGTTGAAACGAGATTAAAAATTTTTTATCAGCAGGTAACCGAAAAATGGCCAGAGCGAGAGACTCTCCGAAGTCTCCGACACCGACGGACTGCTCGTAACGAGCTCGGGAAATTTCTTCCCTTCCTTGGGACAAGATCAATCTGGGACGCAACCTTATTTTTGACGCAGTTTGCAGTGAGCTGCTTTTGATTTGCATAGGAGGTGAGCTAACTTAGGATTATTGAAAAATTGGGCGAAAAATATTATTCAAAAATTTGTCTTCTTTTTATTTTTGAAAATCAAGCATTATGAAGTTATGTATTTATAATATTAGATATTTTTTCCTTTATCTAAAACTTCATTGCCATTTGCAGTTCTCCAGTGCAGCGCTTGGAAATGGACCGACGGACACAACCTTGAAAAATCAGCCTGATGTTGAAATCTGCGACACCACCTCAGCCTCCTTGACCAGCTGATGTGCAAAGAGAGGAGAACACCATCAGCTGTCAATGTGCACATCAAGATTAGAACTATAATTTGGGGGCTTTTGTTTCTGTAGGATCATGCGTAGCACACAGGGTTATTGTGTACAAATCGTAATTGTAAATAATTTTATTGCATACGAGCCTTGATGAATAAATATTGTTTATAATAACATTAATTTTTTTACATAATGTGACTGTATATTATACTGAATATAAATTCCCCATTTTATGGAAAAATTTGTTCTTATTTTCAAAATTTTTATATATTATGTGTCGCCAAAACACACATGACTTTAGATTATGTCATTTCAGTAGACCTCCGAAAGATGTTTCTGCTTATTTTCTTTTTCTTATTTTTTATGACTTGAGCACAATAAACGTAAATAAAAATTATATTTTTAGTGTAATAAACAATGCAGGTGAGATTTCAATATCATTTTTATAAATAACAAGTAAATTCAAAATACACAAGATTCTCTTGGAGATGCATGAACTCCAACTAGAAAAGAAACTCATACAAAAAAACAATATTACATCAAGGCTCGTATGCAATAAAATTATTTACAATTACGATTTGTACACAATAACCCTGTGTGCTACGCATGATCCTACAGAAACAAAAGCCCCCAAATTATAGTTCTAATCTTGATGTGCACATTGACAGCTGATGGTGTTCTCCTCTCTTTGCACATCAGCTGGTCAAGGAGGCTGAGGTGGTGTCGCAGATTTCAACATCAGGCTGATTTTTCAAGGTTGTGTCCGTCGGTCCATTTCCAAGCGCTGCACTGGAGAACTGCAAATGGCAATGAAGTTTTAGATAAAGGAAAAAATATCTAATATTATAAATACATAACTTCATAATGCTTGATTTTCAAAAATAAAAAGAAGACAAATTTTTGAATAATATTTTTCGCCCAATTTTTCAATAATCCTAAGTTAGCTCACCTCCTATGCAAATCAAAAGCAGCTCACTGCAAACTGCGTCAAAAATAAGGTTGCGTCCCAGATTGATCTTGTCCCAAGGAAGGGAAGAAATTTCCCGAGCTCGTTACGAGCAGTCCGTCGGTGTCGGAGACTTCGGAGAGTCTCTCGCTCTGGCCATTTTTCGGTTACCTGCTGATAAAAAATTTTTAATCTCGTTTCAACCAACAAAATCAAGAAATAAATATTTATACAATTTAAATTCTAAATAAAAAAATCTTGGCCCTTGGCCATACCGCCTCCCCGTCCCAACATTCATTGAAAATCAGTAACACTCGTTCCAAGCACCCCATATCACACGAAAAGAACACGCTTACCTCTAATTAATACGCGTTGCGGAGAGCACGACTCGCGGAAAGAATTTCTGGCCGACGTCAGACGTCTTCATATTGGCCGAACGGTCTGCTTAGCCGCCGACACAGCCGAAATTGTCGTCGAAAACTCGATTTCAGATAAACGCGTCGCCATATTGTTATTTGACCGGCCGGCCAGGGTCGCCGCAGCGCCCGCAGCGCTGCCAGCGGCCTGCCAAGCACTACCACTTGCTCGGCTCTTCCTGATTGGCTGAACGTGGCCGAAGTGGGAGTCGCCCCAAAAGGTTCACTGAGTTTTGGCGCGATGAGCCATTTACAAAAAAATTCTCTCCTCGCGCGCCGGGCAATAATTTTTCGCCGGGACATACATACATTTTATTTTAATGCCTGTTAAAACCCGCCGCAAATTTAAAATGCACTACTCGGCGAACCTCTTTAAGCTTTTTTTCCTTCTTGTGGGGAAAGCCTTTTAGAAATTTGTCGACACGACAGGGGGCACGTGGGGAGAAATTCATCAAGTTTTGCCTTGGTGAGAGGGTTTAACATGCAGGGAGGGGCCTCGTTTGGCTCGGCTTTAGTCGCTCACATTAATCTCACCACACCTGGGCCCGTGTGTTGAATAATTTCGTCCGAGTGCAAAGTTTGAAGCGGACAAACGAGCGTATTTGTTTTCTGAAAAGTGGTGAATGTTTTCCAAGTACAAATCTGGCCATTGTGCAGCGGTTGGCTGGACTGGAAAAATCCCGGCGTAAAAATTCTTTAAGACTTCCTAGGGGCCAATGATTATTACATACAAGGCGTGCGTGAGGCAATATTGGTTTTCTTTTCCGTACCCACAAGAGTTGCACTACATAACAGTTTCGTGTACGCACACCCAGCCGTTTACGTTTTTATATTTTCTTCCCTTTGTGTGCAAGCAAGGCGAAAAGGTCAATCCGCGCTCTGTTCGGGGGTGAAAAGGCCTTGGCGTGTTGTGCGTTCGTGGTGGGTGGAATCGCACCCTTGTGACGAAAAAAGGAAGAAAAGGCAAGAAAGGTGGTCGGTGCCGAAAGACTAGGCAGGCGAGCATTCACTTCGCTTCTATTGAGCAACATTGTTTTAAGTAAAAGTTGGCAGCCGTGGCTGAAATTCATCTGAAAGAACATCTCTTTGCCAAATGAGTGTAATTTGTTGCTCTCTGTCGTTTCCATTATATAGATCCAAATCTAAGTAAAAAAAATCATTTTTAAAGATAACAAGCTTACATTATGGAAATGCTTTTTCAACTTATTTTGGTTGGAATTTGTCTATTAAAAAATTAATGATACTGAGAAGAACAATTTTTTTAAAAGGAATTAAAAAAAATATATATAATTTTTGTCTAAATGTATTGCAATGGTGAGAATAATTCCATAAAAATTCTAAAGATATTTAGCGATAACCATTTAAAATTGGTTGTTATTAGACGCAGCTATTTTTGAAAATTATTCTGATCAAACTTTTTTAATTTATAAAAATAATACCATTTCTGCTTCCCTTAGTTGATCAATCAACCAATTTCACGGTGACACAATTGCATGTAAAAAGTTTTCTTTCCGCTAAAAATTAGTGCTGGAAAAACCGCCTGAGGAATAAATTGCGAAATTCGCAAACGTGTTCAAAGAGCACCAACGCCGAGTAAGAAAGTTTTGAAATGGAAATTATATCTGACAAACTTTTTTCCTCTCAGCAAAGTTCGGTCTCGGCACCAGGGCGCAGTCTCGCAACATTGAATAGATATTTGACTCAACAAGAACTTTGATATATTCATACAATGGTTTAGCTGTTCTGGCAAGCCAGTTCATTTCACTATCTCTGGAGCTCGGCACGAGTGATGCACGGTGGTTCTCAAACATCCGCCTTGTTCGCTGCCAATCGATATTTATATGTTCGGGTTGCTCTTGTGTTGGGGGTGCAACACGATGCTCTTTTAATTCAGCCGGTTGCTGCTGCAAAATTGGAGCAGTAAATTGTTGTGCGCGCCTCCAGCTGTCTCGTTGCAACGACGCGAAATGAGGTGGCAACCAATAAAAATGTCCGCGCGTGAATAATTGGCCGCCGCTGAAATATGAGTCGATGCACCGCTTCCCATCGCCATTTTTCACTTAGTTTGAATTATTTATCCTTTCCTTTACGTTCTTCTCCTTTTGATTAAGGTTTATCGGCGTGGCTGCTCAGGCTGCTGCTGTTATTTATACACTGTTGAGGTTTCCTTTGGCGTGTATGCAACCTCAAACCCACCTGACCGCAATGCTTTTAGCTCTCGTGCTTTTGAAAATACATTATTTGTACTCACTAATTTTATTATTTTGAAATATACTCTATTAATTGTTGCATAATATATGTTTGCTGCAAAATAAAGTATATTTTTTAAATATGATAAAAAGGCTATAAAAAATATCAGGATTTTAACACTCCTCCAAGAAAAAAACATTGCAAAATTTAAATGTAAGTTCAAATTTTTGATAAACAATACACATGTAAAAGTTTTTTCCTGAAAATCTATTCGACTGTTTGACAAATTTCCAGCTCAAGCCCATGTGTTTTGCAATCACGAGCAGTAGATCGTCATCAATTTCTCTCTTGTGCTCGCTTTTCCCTCTCGTTTTCGAGAAACAGGGGCCCGAATTTGAGCCTCGCCGTTGCTTACCACTCTGGCAAGTGCTCTTGAATGAAAACAATTTTCGAGCGGCCGATTCCAGATAAAGAGCTGCGTGTAATTACCCGTTCCGTTCGTCGCTTTGTTTGCCAGGAGCATAATGCGGACATTTGTCGGCTAATGGATTAACAAGATCTTTTGAGCAGCCCTTTCCCTTCGCAGCTCACGCACGAGTTTTTACGAGCGAATGAAGTGCATAAAAGAACGCACAACCTGGCGTGGAACTCGAGTTGATCCATTTACGAGAAGTTTCCGAGCGTTGCCGAAATGTAGATCCATATTTTTACGAGAGCTGGGCTCGCACTTACATACCTTTGACGTGCGCGAAGGGAAATGTACACCCGGAGTCGGCAAGAGAAGGAGGGCGCAAAAAGGAGTTGGCGGAAAATAAAAAGAGGATGCCATTGTCGTCATTACAATGCCCATAACAATATAATAAAAGCTGCTCCAGTTTTGCGCGCAAACCAGGCGCACCACGATGAAGGATAATAATATTTTTATTGATCTAGAAACATATGAGCGCCCTCGGCAATGCTCTTTTAATGTCCGGTGAAGATTTTTTTCTCTAGTGAAGAAGGTCATCTCTTGTTGAGAGCAATTTCTAGCAATAAAAATGAGAATTAATAATTATTTTTCATAGTTTAAATAGATCAACGTCAGCTTATTTTCAATATTCTCACCGAAACGGTTTTAACGGAAACTTCTGTTATTTTTTAAAAATAATAATTTTTTTATATTTGTATCAGTTTATATTTAAAAGGGGCAGAAATAAAGCAAATTAAAATTTACTCTAAATTCTCCTATGTTAGATCTAAGCACAAATTTATCAAGTTTTGCCTCTATTTAAAAAAAAAAAAACTTTGAAATCCTTTGTATTGCTTATAAAAAATAATAACGGGAATTTTTGTCTCTGAAGGTTTTCTGATCTCAGCAAGCTTGAAGACGTGTTTTGAAAGTGTGATGGTCGTAACCATTATGCGGTTTTCGGTTGCATTACGTTTGAACCTGGGCTTTTATTTTTATTGTCGTGCCAGTTTAGCTGGTCAGGTTTTCTTTTGCACACCAGAGTGAAGTTGATGATACACTCTCGCGAGATTAAATTGGCCTTCAGCCCTCTGCTGATTTCATTTTAAAACAAGCCGGGTGTACTTGCTTAAATATCATTTGCCGAAATGCTGTTAATATGGATTTTGCAGGTCAGTGAACTGCGAGATAGGGAGCGCGTATTTCGCACACCTGTCCGCCCGCCTGCTCTGCTGGCGAGTATATTTACAAGGAGAAGCACTCTGCTCTGCACCCGGTCCGCTTGCGATGCGGTGATAAAAGCTGCTGCGCTGGACACGGCACCGACTTCTTTTTATTTCCTCCTTTTTTATTCTCACGCTCTTGCCCGCTGCAGAGGGAAACACATTACGAGGCATAAAAAATACAGGCTACATAATACTAAAGCGCCTGTTTGAGCAGCACCCGCTCGTAAATAAACCGAAATTTTAAACACGGCGTCCAGCAGCGAGAGTGAGTCTAATTTGGCATTCGATCAAAGGCTAGATGCAATTTTTCTCTCGGCAAAGAGGCTCTTCGGTGCTGATGAGCAAAGTGTGAAATCACGACTTGTGGGTTCATCAGAGTGGCGGCAACTTGTTTGCAAACACGCAAACTATGGCAGTAATCAAACCAGAGAGGCCATACAAGATTTATTCAAGTTGTGTCAAAGTGTAAATTGAAGGGAAAACGCAAGGAAAACGGATTTAATTATTATTTAATTACTACTGAAATATTTATTTACAAGTACGGAATATGCAGGCAAATAGAGGAAAATTTAAAAGAAATTTTGATATTAATAAATAATAATACAATAACCTAATAAGTAGGTTATATTGTATTTTTTCAAACAGACAAAATGCTGGTTTGCTTCATTCGTGGACAAGTTGAATCAAATAAAATTTTGTTTTAATAGAGATTAAATCAAATTGACAAAGGTGGTACCGCAATTTTCAATCACATCGACAGTGTGCCGTGCAGCGCAGTGGTAATGCTTAATGGTACTTTGATCAAACAACGAAGCCACCGCAGATTTCTTTCCAATTACAACCGCAACCCCGCCGAGAACACGCAGCCCATGTGAAGGTTGAAGGGAATCAGCGCACCGTAGTCATTAGGCGGGCGTTATTAAATTTCTCAGTGGCGAGACGACGACGATTTCGCACACCTCTCTTAAGGGAGGCAACCGGCGTTATCGGATAATGCAATAATAAACTTGTGTAGTGGTGCGAAATGTTTGCTCTTGTCGATACATCGAGGCAGAGCGAGAGAGAAGCGCCAACTTAAATTTCGCCGGCTGCACGCGCGCCCGTGTTGTATTATGGATTTGTTCTGCGCAGCCGAAACGACAAGGAGGTCGTCAAAACGCGCCGTTCGCTCAACCCTCTACTCTGTAATTCGGTCCAACCATAACCGTGATGAGGAGTTCCCGGAATA